TAACACCAATAATCTGCCGGATCAGGTCCAGTCAGATATGGATAAGGCCCTTCAGGATGAACTTAGTCGAGTTTTGGAGCAAGAAGAAGCCCTTTGGTTCCAAAAAGCGAGATGTAAGTGGATTGCTGATGGTGATCGCAACACAAGATTTTACCATACCACCACTATTATCAGGAGAGCAAGAAACAAAATCCTGGAGCTGAAAAATGATGATGGGTACCCTGTTAGAGAAGAAGAGAACCTGTTAAAGCTTATCCATACGTTTTTCATCAATTTGTTTTCTGAAGAGAATTACAACAGACCCTGGGCTACTACCAAGGCTAATTGGTCTGCCTTCGAAGAAGCTGAATTGAAGATGCTGAAGGACCCTATTTTGGAGCCAATGATAAATGAGGCTTTCTTCTCCATGAGTGGGCTTAAAGCTCCTGGCCTAGATGGTTTCCCTGCTTTCTTCTTCCAAAAGAACTGGGAATTAATGAAGAGACAAGTTGTGGAGTGTGTGAAGCAGATTTGGAATAATCCAACTAAGGTGAGGGATCTCAATGAAACTTTCCTAGTTCTTATCCCTAAGCTAGCCAAACCTAAAAAGATCTCTCAATTCCGGCCTATTGCTCTCTGTTCAGTTCTCTATAAAGGCATAAGCAAAACTATAGTGGGAAAGCTCAAACCCATTCTAAATAAGCTTATCTCCCCTCAACAGGTCAGTTTTGTCCCCAATAGACAAATCCAAGATAATATTGTTATTGCTCAGAAGATGGTTCATTCTATGAATAGAATGAAAGGAAAGAGGGTTTTTTTTACTATCAAGATTGATCTGGAAAAAGCTTATGATCGAATGTCCTGGAACTTCATTCATAAAGTGTTATCTGAGATCAATCTTCCTGATAATTTAGTGAGTCTCATCATGCACTGCATTTCCTCCACTAAACTAGATATCCTTTGGAATGGTGCTAAATCGGGTAAAATCTCCCCCAGCATGGGTCTTAGGCAAGGGGACCCTATATCTCCCTACATTTTTGTTCTTTGTATGGAAAAGTTATCTCATCTTATTGCTGACTCAATTGATAGAAAGGAATGGAAGCCCATGAAAGCTGGTAAAGGTGGACCTATAATCTCTCATCTCCTTTTCGCTGATGATTTATTGCTTTTTGGTGAAGCTAGTACTGATCAGATAAAGATCATAATGGACTGCCTTGCCACTTTTGGAAACATGTCTGGACAAAAGGTTAGTTATCTCAAATCTAACATTTTTTTCTCAAAAAATGTTTCCTCTAAGCTTGCTAATGCTATTGTGGAGATTAGTGGTTTTGCACATACTACGAATATTGGCAGATACCTGGGATATAAGATGAAGCATGGTAGAATTAATAAACAACATTATGGTGATATTATGGATCGAGTAAATGGCAGGCTCCAGGGCTGGAAGAAAAATTGCCTATCAATGGCAGGAAGAGTGACCCTGGCCAAGTCAGTCATCTCAGCCATCCCTATGTTCCACATTCAAAATAGCCTTCTTCCTAAAGGTATTTACGATGATATTGAAAAGATGCAGAGGAGTTTTATCTGGGGAGATTCTGAATCTCATAGGAAAAACATGCTGTCAAATGGGAGCATCTAAAACTTCCAAAGAATTAGGGTGGATTGGGAATCATTAATTTAAGAAAGCAGAATGAAGCTTTTCTTCAGAAGTGTGCCTGGTCTCTAACTCAATCCCCTGATCAACTGTGGGCTCAAGTTCTGATCTCTAAATATGGCAGAAACAAAGATATCATGAAGAAGGTCTCTTGCAAATCTTATGACTCTCATCTTTGGAAAAGTTTATGTAAAATCTGACCAGACATTATAAGTAATACCTTTTGGCAGATCAGAAATGGGAAGAGGATTGCTTTCTGGAAGGACAATTGGGCTGGACTTAATTCTAACCTTTTATCTCTTGCAATAGTTCCCCCAACTGCTGAGGTTGTTGACCTGAAGTTAAACCACAATATTTCTCTATCTGGAGAGGGCTGGAATATTCAGGTCCTGCTCAGCCATTTTGATCGGAGTGTGGTGAGCAAAATTCTGGCAATTCCTCATCCGGATGAGGAAGCTAGAGAAGATTATGTTTGCTGGAAAAACAGGTTACCAGGTCAGTCCATTGTCAAATCTGCTTATTGCAATCTGATTAGTACAAATTCTTATACTCTAAATGGCAACTGAGACTGTATCTAGAAATGGAATGGAAAGGAAAGGAAAGGGACAAATTTCTATTGTGGAGGATGCTGCATGATAGAATCCTAATCAAAGAATATATAGCCAGATGGAGTGACTCATCTGATTGTTGCCCTTCATGCCCAAATAAGGTGGAGACCAACTTACATGCATTCAGAGACTGTTTTAAAGCAAAAAAAGTTTGGCTCCTTCCATTGTTACACCCTCTACCTCCTGGTTTTTTTAGTGCAAGCTCTTTCAAGGAGTGGATTTCGCTTAATCTGAACCAGAGGAATTCTCATGCTTATAACTGGAGGGACTTCTTCTTTACTGCCTATAGCTTCCTGTGGTTTTGGAGAGATAAAGAAATTCATGAAGTGAATGCCAAGAGATTAGAGGATCCGACCACTGCTCTTGCAGATTTAATTGAGGAAATCAGGCAATGCTGCAGTAATAGAAAGCAACAGTTGGATCAAAAAGTTCCTCCCATCTCCTCCTTCCTTGTTTGGACAACTCCATCTCAAGGTTTTTTGAAATTAAATGTCGATGGTGCAGCTTCAGATGACAGAGCTGCGTGTGGTGGTCTAATGAGAGATTGGAATGGAGCTTGGATTTGTGGGTTTTCAGCCTTTTATTGGATCATGCTCACCATTACAAGCTGAACTCTGGGCCATTTTTCATGGTTTAGACTTTGCTTGGATATATGGTTGGAAAAATATTATCTTGGAATCAGATTCTGCTCAAGCTATTAGCCTTCTTACCGCTTCTGGTAATGATACTCGATAGTTCCCCTTGGTAGCTAAGATTCGAGCCGCTCTAAATAAAGATTGGACTGTCTTGTTGAAGCATGTTTCAAGGTCTTGCAACTACTGTGCTGATTGGATTGCGAAGAAGGCATTGGATGATTCCTTTGGTCTCACCACAATCCCATCTCCTCATTCTGAGCTAATCAATTTACTGGCTGCTAATTTGCTGGATCCAGGCCTTAGGATGACTGCTGCTATTTGCTGTTAAAGACCCTTGCTTGGTCTTTTCTTTTCTGTTCTGTTTTGTTGTTTCTTTTTGTGTTGCTGCTTTTCTTTTCTGGTTTGTTTGTGTCTGTTTGTGGGGCTTAGCCCCATGTAATTACAAAAAAAAAAAGAAAATGTTCTATGAATTCATTAATTGATTATAATTAATTATATAAAATTTTAATCAAATAATTTATTATAATTGATAAATAAAATTTTCAATGATAAATGTCTTGTAGTACTTTTTATTATTGTGATATTATTGATTTTTATATATATTTAAATATTATAATTTTATTACAATATGTTTCAAATATTATACGGATTTATCAATTAATTAAAAAAGTTATACATACATTTTATGTAAACTTAATTGTATTTTTTTTGTTCTTTAAGTAAGTATAAAAAATTATAAATTCGTCAGATAACTTTAACTATAAATAAAAATAATTATATTAAATTAAATTACGTTTTATTAAAGTGCCTAAAAATTATCTATGTTATTTTTCTTACTTTTAAAATTATTGATAATATAAAATATTTAATATTTTATACTAAAAACAATCAATACTTTATTAATTTTCTTAAAATGATACTTTTTTATTTCTAAAACAACATATTAGATTAGAAAAAAATGATTACTTTTAAGTTCAATTAACATACTTGCTTTTGTGTCTACCAAAAAAAAAAAAAACATACTTGCTTTTGTTTTCACTGCGTTTAAATAATTGCTTAATTTTTTTATCTTTTCAAGTAAAATATAATACTTTAGTAATTTTTTTAAATAGAAATAATTTAGCTTCGAATTATTATTATTTTACTGAAGTATTATTATTTATCAATTGAAGAAAACGGGATAAAAATAATAGTTTGTTTCCGTTATACTTTTGTTTTCACCGTCTATAGCTTGGCCTGAAAATTAGGCTTTTAGAAAGAAAAAAAAAAACCATTTAAAAATTAAGTCATATATTCACTCTAAAAAGTCTGGCCTAATAAGCTACAAGTTGGCCTTTTAATTTTTTAATAAAATAACAAATTTATGAAGACAACCAAGAGTAATGAAAAAGTTTATAAAACTAATTATTTTATGTGTTGTTATGAATTATTTAAGGATTTTTGTATCCAATGCAACGATGCAGTCATGGGGTTTACTTCAGGAGTACCCGTAAAACTATATTCTAAATCATGAAAATTTTCTTTAGGCCAATAAGATCGCTAAACTGCAAGTTTATTAAACTTTGTTATGGATCCCAGTCCCCAGAACTGAAACTGTATCTGAAGCCAAAATTGGAAATTCTTAACAAAGAGAAATGGATATTTGCTCGTCAAAGTGATGTGAGGAATTCAACAAGAAATGCTGACTCAGCAGCAGCAAGGCACAATTTTGCACCGAGACATACGGCAATTGAATTTATGAATAAAGTCTTTTCATATTTGAAAATATGTTATCCTTTATATAAAATGGTAATATGCATTTTTCCAATTTAACAAAATCTAAAGACAAGCCGCCTCAAAATGTAGTTGTTGAGAGGGAGCAGATCAAATTATACAGAGACACACTCAGAGGATTCCAATAAATCGTAACAAAATTTATCGGGATTATATGAATACAATGTGTCCTCTGGTACCAATGTATCCAATAACCACGCAAGAATTTTTTTTTTTTTTGTTTTTAAAAATGATAGCTTTATAATTTATTCATATTGTTAGAGAATAATATAAATAATTAAAAAGACCCTCACCCAATTTTGGGTTGAAGTGGTTCTTTACACATATATCTGGTTGCTAAGACGCAGGATTACATATGGCATACCTCAAATCGGCAGCACATGGTGACATAGACCATATAATAACTCCAGCGCTCCATTTGTTGAAAGCATTAATATGTTTAGTGTTTCTTTTATTTTTGAGCTCTCTCCTACAAAATGAAACAAAGTATCCAGGTGAAAATAAAAAACTAAGTTCCTTGCTGCTGATATAAATCCTAAGCTATGCTTTGCTGTAATATCCTCTGATACTGTACAGCTAAGTGCCCAATATGTACATGTGAAATAGTTTGCTTCTACTAGTAGATATTAGATTAAAGCACTCAAGCTTCATATCAAACAAAAGAAGAATTAGAAGATATTAGATTAAAGCATTTCAAGCATTAGTTGTCCATAAGAATGATGCAACAATTGTCAATATAATGCAATATGCACTATACATAAGATCCATATGCATGTTATATGTACCTCTGGCTAGATTGGACACCTTTCAGGCTGCCTAACAATGTAAATCTCATCTCCAGCGATACCATAGAAGTCTTGATTGCGATGCCAAATCCACAAGGCATGGGTTTCATTTTTCACCTGTACATAACTCTTTCAGTTAGTTTGTAGTCCAAATCAATTAATGGTTCATGTTCCTTTAACATGCATGAACTTTTATCAATAGGCTTCACTTGCTAAACTGGCTTCATGAATCAATATTTTAGTAGGTTTTGTATTTCGCCAAAATCAGAAGACTTTTATTCAAAACCACATTTTTTGATCACCACCTCAAGTGATACTTGATCAGGTCAATGTGAAAAATGTACTTTGGTTGGTCTTCTACTTTTCTCTTGGCCTCAGACGAAAAATGAAGTTAGCACAAAAAAAGAGAGTAAATGCAATGAAGAAAACATGGTTTTCAGGTTGAATAATTCACACAAGCCCCATCAATAATAAAGAAAACATAAAAGACAAATGTTGTAGACTTGAGACTAGAGAAAGAAATATGACCTCTAGAATCCCATGACCGAAGCTACTTTCTCTGAAAGCACTATAATCAGGCTGTCTATCCCAACAGAATTTACCTGCTGCTGGACCAGATGTAAAATTAAAGGCGCAGAAGCCACCCGTGTAGTTATCCGGTGTAGTTGATGGTTCTGGACAGTTTCCAGGTTCATCAGCATGTGTTATTGCCATCTTTTCCCGGTTACCACCATCACCAACCGTGATATAAACGGGACCACAAGGATCCAATGTGTAGTTATATACTCGGTTTGATCTCTCATACGCATGAACCTGTTTGCATGTGATGTGAGAATAATATTTTTCTATCAAAGTAGTAAATGAACCTATCTTTTTCTTGTTCAGAAAAAGAAAAAAAAAGTTCTAACATATCAGTTTACATTTGAATTTTAATAAAGACAAGAATTATGGATCATATGCATTAAGTAATGAAAAAAAAAACAGTATGCTTACATGTCCATTGAAGACAATGTCAACACCATATTTATATAGTAAGTCTTCCATCTGTACCCTCATACACTCTGCTTCTCTATAATGTGCCTTGTAAGTGCTGTACCAAGGTGGATGCCATGTAGCTACCAACCATGGAGTTACTTCTCTGTCAACAGAAGCCAAGTCTCTCTCCAACCACTTGTACTGGTCCCCTGCAATAAAAGAGAGGATGACACTGGAAGTGAGTTAATAAGGAAGAAACTTTTGCACTCTCCATCCCTATCATGCATTTAAATAAACAGCAATACTTTCTAAACCATGTTAGTAATATGAAGAATATCCATCGTGTATAGAAGACAATAAAAGAAAAGGATGAATGAACCAAAAGCTAACCTGATTTGTCATACGATATGTAGGCCCCGAGCATTATAAAATGTATTCCTCCAGCATTGAAAGAATAATAGAAAGTGGATGATGATCCACTCTCTTCTGATGGGAATGCAAATCGAGAACTATAAGCAACAAATGTCTTGTTCTCTGCTTGTTCTTCTATCTCATGATTCCCTTCTACTATCATTATTGGGACACTAGAAATCAGAGGCTGCATGTACCTGAATCAATAATTGACATTACCTGAATCAAGACAATAGCAAAACTACCACCATCTGTCTAAAACAATGATAACAAAAAAGCTCCACAACAAAGTTAGTGGAGCTGACTTATTGTTAGAAATTAGAGCTCTTGAACACATAAAATCATTCATTGGACCCTAGCTGAACATTATACTGATGGTCCAAAATCTCATTTGAGGTTCAATTAATAAGCACGCCAGTGCGATGATATGTTTCAGGTAAAGTCAAAATTTTACCTTCCCCAATAATCCCAACGAGGTTGATATGTCTCATGGATGGGAGTGTTAGAAAATGAGCAAGAATAGCAGTCTGACCCAGTGCCATTTGTAAGATATAGGTTAGCATAACTAACATCTCCAACCAATACAATAAGATCAGGATGATTACTGGTCATATGATTAACAGTGGATGTGGTATTGTATGTAAGACCCAAGTCTCCTACCACTGCTATTCTACTAGGGTAACTCTTGGGGCCTGAAACTGTCATTGTCCTGAAATAATGAACATCACTCATTGCTGACAAAGAAGGATCTCCACATTGATATTGATAGAGTGTGCTAGGTTTCAACCCTGCAAAAAAAGACAACAGAATTCTGAATTTTTCGGATATGTTCTTCAGGTACAACCAATCATATGCCATGCAAATACAAGCATGACTGGACTAAGAATGTCTAGGCAATGGATTAATGACTCTTCAACATGTTTTTTTTTTTTTTTGTTCCTTTCCTTTTCAAGGCACAATTACATTTATTTGGATAGAAAAGCCAGGGCATTTGAGACATAAAGGAAGGAACACCGTCCAAAATGCCACTATTCACCAATTTTTTTAACTAAATGCCACGCGAACAGTGTTATTTCCCAATCTGCCACGGGGGCAAGTTCGCTATCCGATATAGCGAACTCGGTTTGTTGACGTGTCACATTTCTAGTGGATAACAAGTACCAAGTTAAAAAAAAAAAAAAAGTTTGAAGTTCGCTACCTCGTGTAGCGAACTTGATGTCCACTAGAAACGTGACACGTCAGCAAACCGAGTTTGCTACACCGGGTAGCGAACTTGCCCCCGTGGCAGATTGGGAAATAACACTGTTCGCGTGGCATTTAAGTAAAAAAGTTGGTGAACAGTGACATTTTGGTCAGTGTTCCTAAAGGAAGCTTGTACCAAGTATTATACCTTCGAGACGAACATGATGTATAATTCCAGAAGTGTAGTTCTGGAGGCCATCAAAAGGATAAAGTTGACTGTAAACAAGGGAATAACCCATGGCTTGGTGACTCATGGACCTTCCATACCGTCCATACTGAACTATGCTAGCAACAGTACCAGGATCCAAGGGTTCTATATTGTCCCCAATTTGGAACTCCCCTGCATATATAATCCAACAATATGATACCTAAAGTAAACTTATAGTATCTTGAATTGACATGAAATAAACTGAGTTATGGCTGCTGAAGTATGCCCACAATATGGCCTTAGGACAAAAAACAAAACAAAAACAAATTGAACTAACAATTGGTAGGTAGCTAAACCTTCGAATGATGAAATTGGTGGGGCCTGTTAGAAACGAGTTCTTTAACCTCAAATTGTATAATTATTGCTTGCTTAATGCTTTCAAAATAACGAAGGTTTTCTAACTGTGGAATGAAGAAAAAGCTGTCAGCAGCAAGAGAGTGAGTGTGCTTCCTGTAGCAACACGGGGTCGAATTTTCCATTCGATGCTTCCGAAAGCAACATTAATTACATTTGGAAAAAATAAAAAAAAATGCAAAGCCATTTGTCTGCATATCATGATTTCAATAACTATGCAACTAACTTATAACTTCACGTGAACTAATGAATCCAAACGAAAAAAAAGTGATAGAGCTTCGTTCATTTGTGACCTCTACTTCCTACCTTTATTATTTCAAATTAAGAAACAAGATTAATAATTAATATAGATAATTGGAAGAAGGGGTGGTGGTACCTGTAATCCAAGAAATCCAAACAGAATCATGGGATGCAGAGAGGGAGACAGAGATTTGTTCGGGTTCAAACCCTTCAACAGTTCTTTGAACCAGAGGATCTGTGTCTGGCAGGTCCACTGCATTTCCACGGAATCTCTGGTCAAGAGGAATGGTCACAGGTTTAAAGGGTCCATCCAGAGTGGTTGGAACTCCGCCATGAACAATGAAAATAACTGAACTCAGTGATAACAACAGAGACAATACAACAATAGGAGGAGGCATCAAAACCGAACCCATTTGAGGATTCAATCTAATCTAAGGTGCAGGCATTCAAAAACAGCAAAAAATTCAGATAAATGAGTTGAGAGGAGAGTTGATATGTAGAAATAAATAGTCATAGATAGATGAAGGAGGAGGAGGAAGAAGAGGAGTCAAAGAATTCAAACAAGGTGAGTTGAGAAAACTAAAACTAAAATGATAAAGATGGCTTTGTAGGAAATTATTACAAAATGGTTGAGTTGAGCAAATCAAGGAGTTTTATTTATATTTTTATGGAAGGCTGGAAAGGACGTCAAGGAATTGAATTTTAAATATGGGTTTATCATTTAACATGACCACAAAAATTTTCCTACACACACAACATTTTGTGGGGCCCGTAGCAAAAAAAAAAAAAAAACTCTGGCACGAAAAACGAATCTCTATAACATAACACAATCACTTTTCCTATACCATACTCTTATAAAACCCTTTAGATATATACAGAACAAATCATGTCACTTCACATGGTGATGGAGTAAAGGCATGACCATGGTTATTTCAGAAAGAATCTAGTACCGCGAAAAATCTATTGTAATACTTATATATATTTATTTACTTATTTTTGTAAATTTTTACATTATATTTTGGATATACTGTAGATGCTTTCCTAGTACTGACAATGTTCCTCCACAAGTTACACTTTCGCGTTCAGTTATAAACGTCAATATGGATAAGTTGCATACCAAGAAGAAGAAAAAAACTATAAATGTTCATACATTTATGACTAAAAAAAATACTAGTATGGTTGACAAGCTTGGCCCGAGCTTTAATTCACGAGCACGACTCACCCCACATGGATTAAGAAATTCAAATACGTAAATCAATCCAAGTGAACTCTATATAATTTTTTTTTATTTGGCTAATTTAGTCTGAAGAACTCGAACTTGGAATTCTTTCTATTTTGAAAGCATATAACTATATATAACCCGACAACAACAACAAAAAGCAAACCATTATGAGGGCTGCAACTGTAATTTAATCGAGACTATTAAAAGAAAAATCTATCAAATTTAAATACTACCATACCATCAAATTGTTTTGGTACAACGGCACAGCATCAATTTGAAAGGGTTATGCTGGAATAGATTGTGTTTATATTTTTTTTTATCATAATATACTTTTGCAATTATAAATTGGTAATCTCAATTTTCAAAAAAATAAAATAAAATTGGTAATCTCCGTTATCAAATTTCACTTTTGCTACCAAATTTGAAGAAAGTTTAGTGAAAAAAAATTGTCTCACATTTTTCATGAGTAGAGCGGTTTGTATATTAAATGTACACATATAGTTAAGCCGTTTGGATGAGGGTTTTTTTTTTTTTTTTTCCAAAAGTTTCTTTTTTTTTTTTTTTTTTTAAAAAAAAAGTACTTCTCATTTTTATTGCGTTTGAATGTATGTTTTTAAAAAAACAGAAGTCACAAAAAAAGTAAAAAATTTACTTTTTTCAGAAGCTAAAAATTTTAACTTAAAAGCAAAAGCCAAAAGCCAAATATTTTTTTCAAAAACTAAATATTTTTATAAAAATTAAAAATATAAATAACTTTAACTTTTATAAAAAGCACTTCTAAATTAAGAAAGAGATAAAAATTACTTTTTTAAAAAGTTGAAACAAACGAGCTCAAAGTGACATAATTAAAATCATGAAGTTGGATAAAACTATAGTCTGCAACATGAAAACAGAACTCCATTTTTATACATTTATTTTCATCTACCTCTGTCTTTTATAGCTGTAAATTAGAATGCGTTAAAGCCAAATATATAATTAGCTTAGTGAAGGGTAAACTAAGGCAACTTAATCACATTTTACTAAAGGATAAAAAATTAATTCACGATAAATATAGAGAAAGAATATTCTTATTATAAAAAAGAGAATAATATTTTTGCAGGTACTGCCCAATGTTGTCAAACTCGAGTTTCTACGTAGAAATGAAAAGGGTTAGTAAAAACGTAAAACGTAAAAACGACATGAAACGTAAAGTTTCTACTTTTTACTACTTAAAGTCAAGATACAAAATTATATATATATATATATGCATGTAAAAAAAATTCATATAATGAACATGTGTGTTGAGCCACTTATCTATTTAAAAAGGAAAAAAAAAATTGATAACCAAGTATCAAAATTATAAACAATGAAAACTAACAAGTAATAACCAATCTTCTCTAATTGTTTCATACACTCTGCAGATTTTGGGGAACAGTGACCATTGTGCCACTGTTCCCACATTTATTTACCTAAATGCCACGCACCTGAACTTTTTTCCCAAACTGTCACGCGGGCTAGTTCGCTGGGAGTAGTAGCGACCTCGAGATGCTGAGCTGTCAGCTTCCTGGTGGTGTCAGAGTTCGCGACTGACGCAGGCGACCTCTGTTGCAATTAATGCCTGACCAGCCAGGCCATGTGGCGTGCATGCAAGCGAGGTCGCTACTGACGCAGGCGACCTCTGTTGCAATTAATGCCCGACCAGCCAGGGCGCGTGGCGTGCATGAAAGCGAGGTCGCTGCCCACGCAGGCGACCTGTGCCCAACGATTACTTTTTTCCCCTATATAAATCCCCCTTCCCATCCGCGTCCCCCTCCCCATTTTCTTTCTCTCTCTCTCTCTCTCTTAATTTTCTTACTCTCTCATTTGGTCTTTTTGTCTTCATTTGAGGTTAGTGATGTATAATTTGATTAATTTTTATTCTTTTTTTATTGTTAGTTAGTTGTTGTTTAATATATTATATGTAACATAAAATATTAGGTTAGATGATATTTTAATTGTTATATTATTTTAATTAATTTAATATTAATAGTTTAGTAATTACATTTTAATGTTTGTAGTTAAATAACATATTATTTAATTAATGTATGTAATAAATTGTTTTATATGCGTTATTCATTTATAGGTTTTAGAAGAAGATAATTTTTATGATTAATGTTATGACACATTAGGTTAGATGACATATTATTTATTTTATTATTTGAATTATTCTAATATTAATAGTTTAGTAATTGCATGTTAATTTAAGTAGTTAAATATTTTATAGTTTAATTAATCTATTTAATTTAATTGTTTTATTATTTTAATTAGTTTAATATTAGTAGTTTAGTAATTATATTTTAATGTTAATAGTTAAATAACATATTATTTAATTAATGTATGTAATAAATAGTTTTATATGCGTTATTTATTTATAGATTTTAGGGTAAGATAATTTTTATGATTAATGTTATGACACATTAGGTTAGATGACATATTATTTATTTTATTATTTGAATTATTCTAATATTAATAGTTTAGTAATTGCATGTTAATTTAAGTAGTTAAATATTTTATAGTTTAATTAATCTATTTAACTTTTTATTTTATATGCATTATTTATTAATAGGATTTAGTCAGGTTATATTTTTATATGTTAATGTGTCTATTTATGTAGTTAATAAGTTGTTAATTATGCAATAAATAATAATATTGAATTAAATAAAATCATTTATTTGTAGGATTGAAAAATAAGTTGTGTTAACTTTGAACATTGACTTATATAATATGTATGTTAATGTTATTAGGTGTAGTACTTTTTATTAATGTATAATTTAATAATATTAATTGTTTGATATTATTTATAGGCTTGGCATCTAGGTTAGAAAAGAATTATTTTAATTTTGTTAGATTTTGTATTTACTAAAATTTAGATTATGCAATAATTAAAATATTTGAATTAAATAAAATTATTTAGTTTTAGGGTTGACAAATAAATGTGACAAAGTTCTTTTACCACAATGTTTGTGTTTATTTATTTATTTTTTAGTAATTAGTATTTATTTATTAGTAATTAATTGTGGAGTATAGAATAATTAATTGAACTTGAAAATTAATATATTTATTAATAAATTTTGTATTTATTATTTGTAAATAGATTCATGGAGCAACAGAACCCGCAACAGGACCCGCACCAGACCTTCATTGACCCTGGTCCATTGGTGCCGTCTCTCTTGACATTGCAGGAGAAACACATTTCGACGTACGTATGGAACAGATCTGGTGACGCAAATCCAGATGATCGTGTACTCAACGTCAGACACGCTGCTTCATGGGATCATCTAAATATACCCGAGGAGATCCATCCTTACCTGCAGCAGGCAGGGTTTTATCATATTGCGCGTCTGCGCAACCATGAGGTTGGTGATACATAGAGTAGATAAATAAAAAAATTACATGTTGTATAGTTAATCAATTGTGATAAAATGTAAAATAATTTTTTATTTTCAGATTGATCACCATCTCATTTCGGCCCTTGCGGAGAGATGGCGTCCTGAGACGCGCACATTCCATATGTCCATGGGTGAGGTGACGATTACTCTGGAGGATGTCCACCATCTGCTTGGACTGCCTACAGATGGAGAGGTTGTATCTGTCCGCGTTGGAGGTCATCCCTTCTCCCAGATGGTGGGAGATTTTTTGGGCGTTCAGCCAGGTCGGTCGCGCGACTTATATAAAAACCAAATTTCGCTTACATTTCTGAGGGAACGGTATCTAAATTGGCATGAATGGTCTGGCAATGAAGTTGACCGTATGTGATACACACGTGCATTGATTTTGTGCATTATAGGTGGTTGCCTCTTCGTTGAGACTGCATCTAGCTTCGTCCATGCGCGGTATCTCCTATTTTTGGATGATTTTCAGAGGACTAGGACGTATCCTTGGGGTTCCGCTGTCCTGGCTACTTTGTACAGGGAGTTGTGCAAGGTTACTGACCCAGGACAATCAGATATGGGTGGCTGTACTTTGTAGTCATATGGCCAAATCGCCTTCCTTCAGCATCGTATGATATACTCCATTTTTCGTTCGGAATTCGATCAATCCATGCTGCTATCTGTGGGCTTGATTCTTTAAATTTTTCCAAACCAGCGTCAAAATCCAATCGCGATGTAGTGTAGCCTGTACATGACAACACATAATTGTTAATAACTAATAACATCAGCGTCGTACGATCATTGTAACAAATTAAAAAAATTCTAGTGACATCCATACCTAACTTCTTTAACTGCTTCTTCAACATGATGTTTTTGAACTTATGATTGAAATTGCTTGCCAGATGTCTCACGCAAAAAACATGGTACACTCTGGGTGGTTGCCACCCTAACGCAACATTATTGACGACTGCTAATATACCTGCATGTCGATCAGAAATAAGGCATATTCCATCTTTCTGAGTCACATGGATCCGTAACATGGCCAAAAACCAGGACCAATTGTCAATATTCTCACAACTAACAACAGCAAACGCTACAGGCAGGACATAATTTTTACCGTCAATAGCTGTAGCGATCATTAGCGTTCCACGGTATTTTCTATACAAATGTGTCCCATCGATTTGGAGCATAGGCTTGCAATAATTAAAGGCATCACAACACTGTTTGAATGTCCAAAAAACCCTTTTAAACACCTTGTGCGAACCATCAAGCCGACCATCAATCTTATGTTCATTCACATCCAGTTTATAGGCAGACCCAAGAGAAAACAATAACATATAATCCAACCATCTTGGCAGAAACGCGTACGACTCATCCCAATCCCCAAATACCCTCACAATTGCCTTCTGCTTTGATTTCCAGGCTTTTCTGTATGATATATGAAATCCTAGACTTGATGCAATCCTCTCCTGTATTAACCCAATTTTAACACTAGGCTCTTCACGTATCATTTCTACGGTTTGACAAACAACAACGTATTAGCGTTACACTCACGATATTAATTTAAACATTTACCAGATGGTTGACTTATCGATGATCAATTCACAAATGAAACTAGAGTTAAGTTGTTTGTGATCCTGGGAAAGTGTTTGAGATACACACGTTGTTCCACACGCTTATTATCCATTCATAACCACCTTTTTTCAGATATGCTCGCATCCTCCACGGACAACCATCATTGTGATTTTGACAAATCATTATCAGCCTTTGCGTATCACTTTTTAGTACGACAGTTGTGCGATTTTTTGCCATACAATACTGTTTGATGGCCATTTGTACATCCTGCTTGCTTTCAAATTGCTGGTCCTTATAAAGCTCTTGACTCATTTGCCAATTTGGTACTTGTGCCCCTTGCATGTCATCACACTCTTGATCGGGGTGTGCCCAGTTAATGTTCGTGTAATGTGGTATTTCTGACCAAAATGGAACATTATCCACTGCTTTTTAACACACATTTCGAATGTCGTTGAGTACATAAAAATATAATTAAACTGAAACAGTAAACTATCTTAAAACTCAAATGGTAAACTACCTAACCTGTAGCAGGTGGTGGGTCATGCGCACCAATAATACCCGGTGATGGAATCGGTTCAACCAAAGCAGTGGACGTTTCCAACTCGAAATCACCATCAACGTCTGTATCCGACGAGTCACTGTCAGGGACTAGACCTTCATCAACCTCCTCCTCGGAACTATCAGTACGCCCCGATGGATCATCTACTTCATTAGCATGAATCACATCTAAAGGTTGTGTTATTGGGGGAGATGATGATGGGGGTGACACATTCATATCTTCCGCATCTACTTCCGGCTCTTTGTTAATGTCTATGGAGTGACTGGTAGGGATGAAACATTGAGTGCTTGCCTCTCCACCGTTGTTTAGTTCCGCATATAACTCGATGTATGAGGACTCTCCATGCTGTCGAAATGCATCAACTACTAGTGACACATCTTCATCCTCAACCACCTCCACAGCAACCCATTGCACGGGGTTACCAGAAGCACATCTAACAATCAGTCGAGACAAGGATTGACCTCGTTGTAATCTCAACTTCTTGTATATTATTTTCTTGAGCTCATTATATTTGCAATGTGGACTCATGCGGAAGATCTTCGTATCTCCTTCAAACACTTGACCGTTCGGTCCAAAATATCTTCTCCCATTGTAATATAGAAGGCATATTACATCATTGTTATTCTCACTCATTATATACTGAAATAGAATTCACACACAGAAATGGAAATTTCCTTTGAAAACGAACGAGAATGAATGACTGATCGAGGAAGGGGGTCTAAATATAACACTGAGTTCGCTTTATGGCCCAGCGACCTGTAACTGTCGGCAAGTAGTTCGCTGACCAAGGCAGCGGACTTCTAGGGAACTGCCACGTGGCACCTAGGTCGCCTTGGCCCCCAGCGAACTTGGTTGGGGTCAGACACGTGCCATCTAGGTCGCTTGCATAGGCAGCGAACTCAAAATACGTTGCAGGCTTTATTGCACCCAAGTTCGCTACTGACACAAGCGAACTTGAGAACCACCAGCTTACTGACACATCATCATGCCTAGTTCGCTACTACTCCCAGCGAACTAGCCCGCGTGGCAGTTTGGAAAAAAAGTTCAGGTGCGTGGCATTTAGGTAAATAAATGTGGGAACAGTGGCACAATGGTCACTGTTCCCAGATTTTGGATCATCACTCATCAGGATATAATTCCACTTATTTCAATGCACACAATGATCCAAAAATGCAAAACGATTCTCATAGCATAACTTATAATATAATTGCAGCTTTACAAGATATAATTATAAAAGACATATATCCAAACAAAAAGATATCAAGATATTGTGCATATAATTTGGGGAAAACGAAAATTGGGTTTTTTTTAATTTCTTTTTTTGTAAATCTTTTTTTTTTTTTTAAAAATTGTTTTAAGTAAAAATGGTCAAAACGGTAAAAATGTAAGTTTTTACCGTTTTTTACGTTTTTACACGGCGTTTTTACCAGCTTTTACTAAGGACGGTTTTTACTTGCGTTTTAACACGCACCACACTAGTAAAAATGTAAAAACGTAAGTTTTTGCGTTTTTACACTAGTTTTTGACAACAATGGTTACTGCAGATAAGTTATCTGCATTTAAATCCAAACGACGTCGTTTGGATATTGAAAAATTAAATAATTATAAAGACTATAATAACCCTAAAATAAATTAAAATTACAAAAACACCATAATTTCCGTCCCAAAACGACGTCGTATTAGACTTACTACATATAACTTATCTGCATTAACGGTAGAAAAAGCGAACCCAAGATTTCATTTCCAACTTAATATCTATCTAATTATCATTGGATTGGCATTTTCATTCTCTTTAGAAGCTTTTTAATATTTTTTCTTTTTGATCTAATGGTGACTAGATAAATAATAAATTGATAATGAAATTTTTTGACAGTGAAGATATTCTTCCTCAGCTATATATACCTCAGCAAATAAAAGTAATAATCTTTAAGTTAAAATGACAATTATTGATAGGTTAATTAATTAAGAAAGAAGAAAATAATATTAAATTGAGTTGAGTTGAGGAATCTACGGTTGCTTGGTTGGAGGGATTTGGCAATGAAAACTTGGAAGTAAACCTAAATAGTAAAGAGCAGCTCAGTTGAAATTGAGTTTAATCGTGAATGGATTTCGTGGAATTGGAGGCGGTGGAAGGGTTGCGGTGGTCGTGGAATTCATGGCCGGCTTCGAAATCGGAAACCACGGGTCTGATAATCCCTCTGAGCATAATGTGCACTCCGTTGGCGTTGATGGAAGGAAAGGGCAGCGAACTCCCCATCCTTCCGTACGATCCCCTCCTATGCACTCGATGCGGCGCCGTTTTGAACCCCTACGCTCGCCTTGATTACCAATCCCGCATTTGGTACTGTCCCTTCTGCTCCCAAAGAAACCCCTTTCCACGCTCTTACTCCGGCATCGCTGACACCAATCTCCCCGCCGAGCTCTTCCCTACCTACAGCACCGTCGAATACGCCAATAACAATATTATTCATCGCACTTCTTCTTCTTCTTCTTCTTTTTCTTCTTCTAACTCCCTGCTTCAGCTTCAAGCTGCTACTCCTACTGCTACTGCTGCTGACTCCCGTGGATTTGGTCCTGCCTTTGTGTTTGTTGTTGATATCTCTTCTTCTGAGGATGAACTTCGTGCACTTAAGAATGAACTCTTGCTCGTGCTCGACCAGTTGCCCGACAACACCTTTGTCGCTTTGGTTACCTTCGATTCTATGGTCTATCTCCATGATCTCGCTTATTCTCACTGTTCTAGGGTTTTCATGTTTCATGGCGACCGCCAAATTTCCTCCAATCAGGTAGGTGGTACCTTCCATTTCTCATTCATTTCCATCTTAGACTTAGTGGACAATGACTGTGTTTATAAATTTCGCTAATTCTTTGGTTGCACAACGGTTCAACAGATCAATCTAATATCACTGTTTGGTTTTGGTTTTGGTTTTGGTTTGTTCTCAGACTCGAAAGTTCCTTAACATTGGGGGGCGCACCCAACAGCACCAGGTGCATATTGGACAAACACCAATTGTTCCCAAGCAGGGATTTCTGTTACCAATTTCAGAATGTGAGTTCAGTATCACTGCTGCTATTGAAGAGATCCATTCTACGTCCAAGTTCAGGTCCGGCACCCGCCCGCTGAGGTCCACCGGGGCTGCAATATCAGCTGCCCTTGGACTCTTGGAGTGTTGCCTAATGAACACAGGCTCCAGGATCATGGTCTTCACCTCTGGACCTGCCACTCTAGGACCGGGAGTGGTTGTCGACTCTGATCTCCGCCAAGCCATGAGAACTCACCACGACATCATCCATGGCCATGCAAGACTCCACGATAAATCTTGCAGTTTCTACAAGCAAGTCTCCAAGAGGCTATCGGATGCATCTGTTGTTCTTGATCTGTTTGCCTGTTCCCTTGACCAAGTTGGAGCAGCCGAGCTTCGAGAACCTGTTCAGCGCTCTGGCGGATTCATGATTCTTGCCGAGTCTTTTGGATCGGATCAATTCAGGAAATGTCTCGGGCTTTTATTTAAACGTGATGATGAAGGCTATTTGAAGATGAATTTTGATGCTACTATTGAAATAGTGACCACTAAAGATGTGAAAATCTGCGGAGCACTTGGTCCTTGTGTGTCTCTTAAAACAAAGAACAGTTTAGTAAGTGAGACTGAGATTGGAGAAGGTGGTACCTGTATGTGGAAGTTAAATACACTCACTGACAAAACATGCATTGCTTTTTTCTTCCAAGTCAGTGATGAACAGAAAATTCAACCCGGTTCTGCTTTTTTAATTCAGTTTATAACAAGATACAGGCAGGGGAACATGGGACTCCGGAAAAGAGTGACAACCGCTGCAAGACGATGGGTTGCGAACCATTCCACGGATATTGCTGCTGGGTTTGATCAAGAAGCCGCAGCTTCAGTTATGGCAAGACTTGCTATTCTCCGGGCTGAGACATGCTATGCCCGTGATGTCATTAGATGGCTGGATGACACACTTATCCGTTTTACTTCCAAGTTTGGCGACTATGTGCCCGAAGACCCTTCTTCCTTCCGCCTATCTTCCAACTTTTCTCTTTATCCCCAGTTTATGTTCCACTTAAGGCGCTCTCAATTTATTGATCTCTGTAACACTACTCCTGATGAAACTGCATTTTTCCGGCTTATGCTGAACCGTGAGGGAGTAGTGGGCTCTCTTATAATGATTCAACCCACGCTATTCCAATATTCATTTGATGGGCCACCTGTTCCAGTACTTCTAGATATTCATTCCGTTTGTCCGGATTTTATCTTGCTCTTTGATTCTTTCTTCCATGTGGTGATTCATTATGGGTCCAAAATTGCTCAGTGGAGGAAGCTTGGTTATGATAAGGACCCAAATCATGAGAACTTTAGAAAGCTGCTGGAAGCCCCAGAACTGGATGCAGAGCAATTGGTGGCTGAACGGGTTCCAGTGCCAAAGGTTATAAGATGTGACCAGCATGGTAGTCAGGCCAGGTTTCTTCTTGCCAAGTTGAATCCGTCTGTTACTCAAAATTCAACATACACAGATGGTTCGGATATTATCTTTACCGATGATTTGAGCTTGCAAGTTTTTCTAGATCAATTGCAGGTACTGGCAGTGCAAGGCTGATCAAGAACAGCATTCATTAGGCTTATTCTCTTTATTACAGGTCACGTGAAAAGAAAAAGAAAAAAAAAAGGAAATTTGTAAGTAGTTTTCAAAGATGAGTTTTCATGTTTTCGGCAGATTGTGTTTCCTTATTTACTTACGAGTTGTAAATTATCTGATTTCTTATATGATTAGAATATTGTTTTGTCCATTAGACTAGTTTCGAAGCGGTAGCATATTGTTACTATTTCGCTGACTAGGAACTGTATTATTCCTCAGTTTTTTTGCCTGTACTGTAAATATCACTCGATGTTATCAGATGAAAGATTAAAGCTATGCTCTGTTTCATTGCTTTTTAATTTAAGTTATTCCTTTATGTACTGTAAATAAGTCTTACTCTTCTCTTGGTTGGAAGAGCCAATATTTGCCAGGGGTCATAACAGCTATTATCAGCTATTCAAACACACAACAGCCTCCACCACCGCTGCCACCATCTTGACATAGTTTTGGTAAACTGACCGGGGACTCTTACAAAATCATACGCACACAGGGAGACACATGATGTTGTAATAAGTTGACATCTTGGAAATTACAAAAGATGGAACCTTTATTAAGTACTCATATAACTAATCCTTGGCTGCAAACTCTAGGCGCATAGAAAATTCGTTTAGAAAGCTTTAATGACAAACTATGGCCTGAAGTTGGTTATTACATTTGCAAATCAACTTTAGAATACTGTAGAGAATATATCCAGGTTGACAAAATCAAAATGGGATTCACATGTTTAATATCAGACTCAAGTTTGATATTCCTTGTAGTCATAAATGCCGTTGATTGCATTGTTACTTCCTACCAACTCTACACAGAAGAAAAAACAATGAATCTGATAAACTGAGGGAATAATATTTTTAAAAAATACTAATCTAATGATAGAACTAACACATGATACTGCAATATAAAAATTCTACAAAGGTAAAACATAAAAAAGGAAATTCAGTGGATAAGAAAATAAAAGTAGATAATCTTGGAACAACTAGATATAATTAAGGAAATTATTAGATGTAATCAGGGACTTTTGAAGGCATGTTTGTTGACTTTTGAAGGCAGATGTAATCAGGGACTAAACTCCTTTTGCACTATCCGTATGTCTTTGTGTTTCCAGCATTCAAATTTGGAAGGAAAATCCTATTTTAAAGCCACACTACAAAAAAAAAGTTCCTTCAAGCTTCTTCCAGCTCAGCATTTTACTTAAAATGGAAATCACGCGTCCAAACTTGATGCATATTGTACTCTGCACGTTACTTTTTCATCCTTCATAATGCACGAAAGATAATATGCATAAGGTAAAATGCATGAGAGAACGTTCTATGCTATAATTCTTCTTATCTGTTTATTGATGTTCATCTTCCCAGATTCACTAAGAAGTGATATTAGACTCTTTGTATATATCCAGAAAAATGGGCACGACCCCGCGAATTCTTTCTAAATAAATCCAGAAAAAATTTAAGAACCATAACATTTAGGGAAAGTAAATTCACTATATTTATTGACTTATTTTACTGCTTAGGTTTGTTGGCCTACATAAAGATTTAAATCAATGAGCCTAGTTAAAAATAGATATGTTCGACTATTTAAAGGCATGGTCATAAAGTAGGCTTTTACATAGACCAAATCAAGCTTTTTAAAAGGTGTTGACAAGCTTAGAAAAATAGTTAAAATTAGAATTTTATCTAAAATTAAAAGGAGGATAGAAGATTACCAAAAAAAAAAAAAAAAAAGAGGATAAAAAATTATAAAATATCAAATTCTAATGTAAAAAAATCATAAAAATATAAAAGTATTAGGAATTGCGATAAAATCATTTTAATTAAAAAAAAATCATAAAATCATAAAAACGCATATTTAAATCACAATTTTAACTTAGTGTGACTAAATTTTTTTTTTTTTTTGATAACAAGTGTGACTCAATTTTAGTAATAGTACAGAGTAATATAAACATAGGGAAATGCGTCTTCTTTAGGGAAATAATTTGGTGGGTCCCACAATAATAATAAAAAAATTGTGGTTCGATGGATATTGGCATGAGGCAATATAAACAAAACACAGTGGAATGGGCCATTATGCGAAATGGTTGGATTGTGCGTTTAGAGAAAATGACAGTGGAGAGTGAGTGGGCCCGTAAAATAATTGATTGGTAAATGGTAACCTTATGAATAGGAATCGGAATCGGAAGCAAAGCTTTATATGATATATCATGCGGACGACGACGACGACCAATAATCCTTCTAACCTTAAATTTGGCGTCACGGCTCCGCTCCGCTGTTATTGAGTTAAGGTATGTTCGTTCTCCTTTTCTTTTGCATGTTATGATACGTTTATTTATTTGTTTATTCTTACTCTGGGGGAAGATATAAAGTTTATTTTATAATTTCATTATAATCAAATCAAATCAATTCCATTTCTAATGTTTTTCCAACATATCAATTGAAATCTTTTTTTTTTTTTTTTTTTTGTAATGGGTTACAAACATACGATTTGATTTCTATATTAAATCGAATCGAATCAATTCAATTCAACTTAAATCATTTCCCATTTCTGATGATTCCAAACACAACCTAATGGTTCTAGTTATGGAGGAGCAATTCTTGCTTAGAGTTCCACCTAGTGTCGCTGAGCGGATAGAGCGTCTTCTGAATGAAAACAATCCTTCTTCTTCTTCATCTGAAGACAAGTCATTAGATTTGTCATTTAGTGAGGATGGAAGAAGTGGTACATTTGTGATTGGGAATGATCACTTGTCAGCTTCTCTATTGGACCTTCCTTGTGTCGTTGAGTCCTGTAAGACTTATGATGATAGCTCTTTGGTTAAGACTGCTGATATTGGTCAGGTCAGGTATCCATCGTTATTCACATAATTCATTCATTTTTATCTTACTCTCAATTCCATATAACTAATTAACTAACTAACTAACTGCTTAATGAATCCAACTAACAGATGGTTATGGTGAGGGAATCCGGTGATGCCGCTCCGGATGTAATTGAGTACAGACATGGCCTCACCCCTCCCATGAGAGATGCCCGCAAGCGTAGATTTCGCAGAGAGCCTGATCTCAATGTAATTTCTATTCATTCTCATCATAACTTTGAAATTAACATGCCTCGTGTGTGTCTCTATATATATATATATATATATATATATATATATATATATATATAAGAAATATAAGAATCATGTTGGATATTCATTCCTGCAACAAGGATCCGCTTCCGTATCTTAAAGATACGGCGTCGTATCCTGATTTTGGTCTGACTTTTTTTTTTAAGCGTGGGACCCACACTTGATTTGTGTGTGCAGGAAAGTGCTCTAGTCATGTCACATGACAAAAAGCGAACCCTATATATATATATATATATATATATATATATAGGTAGGATCTTTTGACACCGGTGTCAAATTTCAATTTTGACACCTCATCTAGAGCCGTTAGAAAAAAAAAGATCAACGACTCTGATTTGCAAGCATGTGACACCATTGATCTTTTTTGATCTAACGGCTCTTAGATGAGGTGTCAAAATTGAAATTTGACACCGGTGTCAAAGGATCATACTTCTATGTATATATATATATATATATGAAAAAATATTTCTACAGCCACTTTAGATAAGGTTATCTACATTTATCCAAAAATTACATCCTTTTGATTAACGAAAGGTGTTTCTGTAATTTATGTTCTCGTGGTTACTTTTTTTAATTTTTAATTTTATTTTCCAGCCTGAACTTGTTTCCCGGGTTGAGAAAGATCTTCTCAAAATCATGGCTGGAGGAACAGCTGACAATCTTGATATCCTTACATCTTATTTGTTTAAAACAGCAATTTAGTGAACATTCCAATTTATGGTTTATGATTTCACTTTAAAATTGTTCTCTTTAAAATGAATGGCTGCCAAGATCATTGTATCTTTGCCTACTTCTTTGCCCCTATTAAGACATTTCTTTTTTCTCTTCTTGAGATGGGATTCATGGGATAAACTAGGGTGGCTTTTCTCATCAATGACAAAAGCAAGTTTGTTACTATCTTGATTGTTTTAACAAGCTTGCTTAACTTTGGTTATTTCCTTGACTGAGATTCACATGTGGAAGCAGCTGAGCCAGAAGAAGGGGATGAGAATGCTCGAGGTGCTAATAAAAAACCTGCACCTACACCTACACCTGTACCAAAACATAATATTCCGGACACTCCTACAAATGCAGGGGAGCCAGACAGGACCGACTCTGACGAATCTGATGACTCTGTTTGATCGAAATCAGCTACTAAAGAATCTTACAATGATGAAATGCACTGTATAATAACTTTTTGCTGTTAAATCTGGCTCTCATCGACCATCTTAAAATCGGCTAAAGTGGATTTGCTATCCCACATTGTGCATTTCACTTGCCGAATGATTTGTTGTATTTTACGCCGTGTTTAATCGTTTAGCAACCTTTAAGGTCCTAATTTCCCCTGCATATATGTGAATAAGGGGAAGCAGGTGTTTATTTGAAGCAATTTTGTTTTTAATGTTTCCTCATCCAGTCATGGAGGGTGTGACCCGTTATGCCGCTTGGTTAGTGACCACTGACCAAGTGTTAACATTTATCCCTCAAGCTTAGTTTTATGGACCTAGTGTCAATTTTGATACAGATCAAACATGAGAATGTGCATGTTAATAAAATATGCAATTATGAAGCCAAGAGCTGTACGAAGTTTTCTAGGAAATAGGAAATATTTAATTCGGAGAATTTCAATGGGATTGATTCGTCAGCACTATCCCTAGCCAAGAGCTACGTGTGTGTTTAGTGTGTATCAAAAACACATTAAAATCTTAACAAGTCAACTTTTGTTTCGAATCAATTCATTTCCAATAACAAGTAAAACTATTTGAATCTCGAACATTCAAATAAAATATCTCATATTCAATTTTCTTTTTCTTTTTTAACAAAAAGACCATTGAGCCCTTCCACTTATACATGTGGTGCGTTTCAGATGGACTCTAAAATAAATTTTTTGAATCCTAATGGAATATTATGCGATTTTTTTTTCAATCCTTTAAAATTCTAATTGAATATCAATAAATTTATTTTTCAAAAATAATCCATTAAAATCTCAATCCAATACACGCTGTTCCTAGGAGTGTTCATCAACCGATCCAAACCGCGGTAACCGAACCGAAAAACCGATAACCGAATAAACCGAAAACTGAAAAATCGAAAACCGCAAATTTTAATTGGATTGGATTGGTTTTCGGATGGGTTGATGAAAACCGATCCAATCCAAACCGATCCAATATATTAATTTTTCTCTACCTTCTTGGGCTTTTCCCCAATCATAGTCTAAAAATTTCTAAACCCAAGACCTATTAACCCATCAACTACACCCATGAAAAACCTAATCACATCTCATCAACAAAATTTTATCTGTGTAGAGCTTCATATCTCATTGCAAAAAAAAAAACTATATTATTGTTTAGTGTTGTTTTTGTATTTCAAAAAAAAAAATTGTACAAATGCAATATATACAAAAATTGTTATTTGCACAATAATCATGAAACAGATTTTAGGATTTTCAAAAAATCGAAAACCAATCCAATCCAAACCGAAAAAATTTAGATTGGATCGGATTGGATTTGAAAAAAAAATCAAACCGAATGGATTATTAAATGATCAAACCGAAGGTATTGGATCAGATGATATTTGTTTCTAAAACCGATCCAATCCAGACCGTGAACACCCCTAGCAATTCCATAAGAATTGTGTTGAAAATGAATTATGTGGTGGGATTTCCACATTCCATGCTAGGGATGTAAATAGACTAGGTTTTGGCTTAAATAGGTCAGACTTGTGTAAAAAATATTAGGTATGACCTGGCCTATTAGCCTGTGTAGGCCACATATTATAAGTTTGACCTGATCTATATGTAAAAAATAAAAGTCTTGGCCTAGGCCTGTTAGCCTATTTAAACTTATTAAACATTTAACAATTAAAAAAATAACAAAAATAATAGTATTTTATTATTCAAAATTATTAAAATAGTAATTTTATTTAGTATATTTTAAATAAATAATAAGATATAGACTGACATGTAAGCTTATAGGCTCGACATATGAAAAAAGATCGCAAAGTCCTCTATGGTGCCCTAGCCCATTTTCACTCTTAGTGGATGCCTTGTAATTCCCATTTCAGACTCAAATGTCAAAGTGGATGCTGGGTTTGTTGACTCGTTGTTTTTCAATGTCACTCTAATGACTAATATAGTCTTTCCCTAATTGCTTCTCCAATCTCACTCACTTTCACGCTCACCCTCTCCCTCTCCATCACCATATAAACCCTAGAATTTCAATAATGGTGAAGAAGCGTGTGCCTGACTGGCTTAACAGTTCTCTCTGGTCCTCCCCCTCCGACCACCACCGCTTCTCCGCTGCCCTGGACCCACCGGAACCTCCCTCTCCTCCTCCTCCTCCTCCTCCTCCACCTGTCACTGTCAAAGAAGATCCTCCCAGAATCCAAGATTCGAGAACCAATCACAATGGCATTGGTACCACATCTCCATCTTCTTCTTCCTCCTCCGCCGATGACATCTCCCGCCAGGCTCAGTTATTGGTCGAGGTAGGTTTCCCTTCACCGATCACCATCCTCACTCTCACTCTCAGTGTTGATGTTATTCTTTACTTTTCTTTTTTATTTTGGTTACTAAGTTTGTCCCTTGTTTTAGTTATCAAGGAAGGTCATAGATATGCGGGAGTTAAGGAGAATCGCATCTCAAGGTATACCTGATGCTTCTGGTATACGTTCTACTGTCTGGAAGGTACATTTCCATTTCTTTTTATTTTCAATGAAATCCAACGGAACGATACAATTGATGTTGCAATTCATTCACATAACGTTTGCAGCTTTTGCTTGGATATCTCCCGCCCGATCGTGCCCTTTGGTCGTCTGAATTACCGAAGAAGAGGTCCCAGTACAAACATTTCAAACAGGACCTTCTCATGAATCCTGTAAGTTAGTTAGTTAGTTAGTTAGTTACGCACATTGATGTCTGTGTGCCCAAGTAAACAGAATCGTATATTCCGTATGCTTTATCTACTTCGCTGGCTCTCTGAATTTTTCTGTGGCTAGTTAGTCAGAAATCACAAGGAGGATGTACAACTCCACTACTTACGATACTGATGATGCAAAATGTGAGACTAGGGGCTTGCTTTCTAGATCACAAATCACTCATGGGGAGCACCCTTTGAGTCTTGGCAAGACCAGCATATGGAATCAGTTCTTCCAGGTACTATACAAAGTTTTCTGAATAAAGAATATATATATATATCATTTCCATAGAAATTACAAAGCATATGTACTACGATGTCTGTGATTCTGCATGAACTATGTTGCTTTGCACAATTGCCTTAATGATAATTACTCTATTCTCTATTGTGAGGTAGTTTTATTAATTATTAGGTTAGATATTTGTTGAGTGTTGACCCCAACTAGTTGGGGATAAATGTATTGTTATTGTTGTTGTTAGGTTAGATACTATGTGAGTTCTTCATGTCATGACAATAACAATGCGTCTTGAGGTAATTAGATTTAAGCAAATGTGTTGCCACATACAGCTAATGATCTTGCTGTTATCAATATTTCAGTCTTTAATGTTCTGTACTATATTACAACTGTATAAACCTACTCTGGTATGTGAAGGGCTGTTGTGATAGTGAATGTTCTTCTTTGCGTGTTTTAGGACACAGAGATCATAGATCAGATTGACCGAGATGTCAAGCGCACTCATCCAGATATGCCCTTCTTCTCTGGTGATTCTCAGTTTACAAAATCTAATCAGGTTTTTCCTTTATTTCTTTTGAAATTTATGCAAACTTCATAAGTCAAGCATTTTTCTTGGCATGAATTTATTTTCTTACTTTTGGGGGGGCATTTTCAGGAAGCTTTAAGGAACATATTGATTATTTTTGCAAAGTTGAACCCAGGTATAAGATATGTTCAAGGGATGAATGAGATATTGGCCCCCCTATTCTACGTGTTCAAAAATGACCCTGATGAGGAAAATGCGGTGAGTATTATCCTTGCAAGCTCTCCCCCATCCCTCTTACTCTTTTAAGTTTGTACTGTAAGCATGTGTATTTTAGAGTTATGTTTGTCGGATGAGATTTGTAGGAAAGGGTGCTATGCTAATGGTTCATCTGTATAGTTTATTGTTCCATCTTAAAATAGTTATTTTCAATAATTATCTTGTTCAATAAATAAATGAATTTACTAGAAAGGAGGAAGTACATATATAGAGAAGCATAAAAAAAATATCCTTCTGTGTAAAGGCAGCACAACAAAGCAACAAAAAGAAAAGGCTTTCTTATACAACAAAGCTGCGGAAATTCTAATGAATACTATAATTATTATTTCTGCCTTTTGGTCTTATCTTTTTTTTTTTTTAAACTTATTTTCAAAAAGATTTATATATCCTAACTCAATTCGCTGATGTTTCCCAGTGTATGCTTTCATAGAAGGGTCACCTGTTATGGGGTAGGGAAGACAAGTCAAAACTTGCGAAAGGAGGAATGGGGACAAGAAATGTTGCCAAATGAAATAGTGTTGCCATGTACATCAACATCACCTTTATCGCAAACTAGTTGGGTTTGATGGTCAATGAATCCAGATGAAAATCGATAAAAGATTGAGGGAAAAGAAAAATAAATAAGATAGAAAAAAAAGAAAAAATAAACACAGGGAAAAGAAACTAAGGGAAAAGAAACTAAAATAGGTCGTTTGGAACTTAGGAAATAACGGATCTGCCTCTCCACAATGCTAGTAGCTTTCCTCTATTCCATCCTAAGACAAATCCTACACCAATCTATTTCCCATTTCATTAAATTTTATTTTACTATTTTCTTACAAGTAAGTTTTGGCCGATCTCTTCTTCTCCTTGTGTGTTTTTGGTAACAAGCTTATGTTCTTATAAGAGCATATAAAAGTCTTCGAAGAATATGTGAAATGATTAATGTGACCATGAGAGTGTTGATGGGGTTTTTGTTTCCAAAAAGTTGATCAAGTGATTGAGTAATGTAGATTCATTTTACTCTATTATATGATTTTAATTTTACTTATCTGTTCCCAAATACTATATGCAGGCCTTTGCTGAAGCAGACACATTCTTTTGTTTTGTTGAGCTATTGAGCGGGTTTCGAGATAATTTTTGTCAACAACTTGACAATAGTGTTGTTGGAATCCGTTCCACTCTTACAAGATTGTCTCAGCTTTTGAAAGAACATGATGAAGAATTGTGGCGTCATCTTGAGATCACGACTAAAGTAAGAAGCGATTTTAAATACATGCTCTATCTAAAATTACAGAATTATTTTGACAATTTGAGAAAGGAAAAGGATTGAGAGGGAGAAGTAATATTGGTGGTGATTAACTCAATTTGGTGGGTGCATGAATTTAAGGATTGAATAATGAGGATATTGTCCACTGCTCCGTTATATTGAATTTGATTTTAAAAAATTACTCTCTTCCTCCAATATTAATAAAAATAAATAGTAAATGAATTATAAGTATTTTTCTTACGTACTTCACTGTTTTAGTGATGTGACCTTCTCTATGTTAGAATTGTTCTTTTGGTTATTTTTATTTTGTGTTTCTATTGTTTAATGTTCCTCTACTAGTCAGTTAAGTGATACCCTTGGTCTTTAATTAGTCAGTGACTCAGTATACTGTTTTGAGTGTCCATTTGCCAGAAGATTGGACAATGTGTTTGCTTTGGCTATTGAGCAGTATATAAGAAAAATCTCTCACATTTCTGGTTCTAAATGTCAGGTCAATCCCCAATTCTATGCGTTTCGGTGGATTACTCTCCTCTTGACTCAGGAATTCAATTTTTCTGACAGCCTTCATATTTGGGACAACCTTTTGAGTGATCCAGAGGGTCCACAGGTACAAATTTGTTTCTATTTACCTTGTATTATAATGGATTCCCCTCCCCCTATACCAATTGGCTTATCTAAAGTAGGGGACGTATTTTACTCATTATAAATTACTAAAGTGCAAGTGGATAACCATTGATGAAATATAAATCAGAGGAGTTAGTTTTCACAAATCTATTGATGGCTATCAGACTGCTTTTACTTCTTCTTTTTTTTCTTTTGATAGAAAAAAAAAAATTATTAAATAGGAAGGGTAATATACAAGAGAGGATAAGGTATCCTCCAAAACAAATCACAAAGCTGAAGGAAAATAAAATAAAAATCCCCCATAAGAAACCATAAAACAAACACATCCGAAGGAGGAAACAGAAAAAGGAACCACCTTAACTGCCCAAAAACCCTCATAGGGAACCCCTTCAGAAAACAACCGCAACAAAAGGGAAAAATTAATAAAAAACACAAGACAATGCTACCTTTTGTCTTCAACAAAGAAGACAACTTTAAAGCTTCAGACTGCTTGTACTTTATAAATTGTAACTTGTTGATTTGTTCATTAATAATTATTCACTATTATAACATGTACCCTGCATTTTATAGGATCCAAATTGTAAAGGAAAGATGGGTGGTCATCATGTTGGATGGATTTATAAAACATATTAAAGTTCCTTTGATTTCTGTTGCGTTTGAGAGTGCTAGGATATGTTACATGTCATGTGCTTTCCATGACACTAACTTTGCTACAATAAATTCCTGTTGCTTTTTACCAAAAAATAAAATAAAAAAATCCTGTTGCTTCTGAAATTGAGTATAGAACTGTTGATGGCGGATCAGGGGCTCCAGGAGCATGGAATTAGCTGTTTTATTTTTCTTTGGCTCTAAGTACCAAAAGATTATTTTATGCAGTGGAAATAAAAAATCAGAAAATCTAACTCACACATTACTGTGTAGGAGACACTTCTCCGGATATGTTGCGCAATGCTCATTCTCATTCGTAGGCGCCTCCTTGCGGGTGATTTCACTTCTAATCTCAAGTTGCTGCAAAGTTATCCCCCTACGAACGTTAGTCACTTGCTCCATGTCGCCAATAAGTTACGTGTACAGTTAGTCTAATGGTTTTAACCGCTGATTTTTTGCCCTTTCCTTCTGTCTCTAATGTAGTGCTTTCAATTTTATGATTGTAAATACTATTCCCTTGTAAATTACCCTGTAAATGTCGGTTCAGAGCACAACTGGTATTTTTGTATACTCAGTTTTTTCATTTCATTATATTTTTTATTATAAGCCTACATTACTGTGATTTTTGTGAAATTCGCCTGTGTCTAGCTATTCACCAACCATGCACCCTCCAAAGGACAATAGTTTGTTTAGGCTTCTTATTTAAACTATATTTCGTTATATTTAAGGCTTTAAGTTGTGTCATTTGTCCTTGTTGACTGTTCGTTGTTGGCTGCATCGTACTCACGGATCACTCTTATTCCCTCCTCCCAAACATTTGCATTCTAAGGCTATGCCTAGTAGAGCAGAATATCAAAGGAATAAAATTAGAAATATGGGAAATTGGGAGAAAAAGTTTAGTTTCATTAGCGATAAGGGGACTAAAAGTCAAATAGAAGTTTCTAACTATTGACTCCTAATGCGGATAACAACAAAAAATAAAATAAATGAAGATATGGTGTTCTCCCGACATTAAGCTTATCGGATATTAACCCCTTTGGATCTTAAAACGTTAGCTTATATTGTTGCAGTAACCCATACATGTTCTTTATCTTGAGGGTAATGTAGTGGTCTCTAAATGTTCTTTAATGTCCAAGGAAATTACAGCAGATTTTAGATTCTTTTTTTTATTTTTTTGATAAATAGTTTTTTTTCAAATGTTTTTTTTTTCAATTCATGGGTTATTCCCTTGAGTGCTAGCGCCATAATGCAGGTTGGGCAAAAATTTGATTTTAAAATAGATTTCTATAGTTTGGAGATCTAACAGAAAGAATAAGGCTTAATTAAGCTTTAGTCACGTGTTTAGTTTAGTTCTGTATTTTTTTTTCTTAACTAAATCTCTTAATATACCATTTTGCCAAATATTTTCCTTCTGTAATTTTATATTGCTAAATAAGGAGTAGGTCTCCTTAATTTTGGTTTCGTTGTGTTGGTGGGTAGGTTGATGAGAAGGAAGAACAAAGGAAGATTGGTGGACTCGCACTTGTAGATAAAAAAAAAAGAGGCTAATTAACTAACCCAAGACCATTTGGGTAAAATATCGTTCGTTTTTTCTAAAAGGGTATGATGTTCATCTAGATTCTAGTAAAAGGGATTTTTTTTTTTTTTTTTACAAATAATAATAGAGTTGTGTTCTGGCGTGTTAGCCAAAAGGTCGTTATAGCGTCAAAGGTGACTTCATCCCTTTCTTTTTCTCTCTTATTGTCTCTATTTATAGTATAATATACAGTTGCACGGAGACTTCAACAACCTTTGCAAACTATTGTCTCCTAAAATTTAGTCTATTAGTTTTTACACCGAAGCAATACGTCATGACCATAAACATTCCAACATAACGAAAAAACAAACAAGCTGTTATCGTTACCTCTGTCAAATTCAATGGCTCAAGCAGTTATAATAGATATTTCCTTATATATATAATTTCCTGTCGATTGAATTTTCATTCTCATTCTCATATCTGCTCTCTCTCTCTCTCTCGTGGGAACTACCGATTGATTGCGCTGCAAAAATGAATTACAATGCAAATGAAACGTTATTCAAGACAATTACAAAAATAAATGAAACCTGGTACAATGTTTGCTATGATGCTCCTCCCCATACTGTTTCTGATGGCTTATGGGGTGGCAAAGAAAATGGCAGGACTCCAATGAAATCCTTTCTCCCAATGTTTGAGTTGCAGGTCCTTATCATTTTTGCTCTCACCCAAATCTTTCGTTTGCTCCTCAAGCCCTTGGTACTCCCTCAATTTATTTCACAAATGATGGTAAGAAGTTTTTCTTTTTCATCCGTACGTGGCCTTGAACAATTTTATTTATGTAGACAATCTTTCGTTAATATTATTAGTTTTATTTTTTGCTAAAAAGACACTCATTTACATCTGCAGGCTGGCCTAATTCTCGCTGCTTCACTTCAGCTAGAGCCATTGGACACTTACACCAAGGTGTTGTTTCCTTATGGAACTCACGATGTCATTTCAACAATATCGTCCATTGGTTATGTACTCTTCATCTTCATAAATGGTGTTCAAATGGACTTTAGCATGATAACAAGGACGGGAAACAAGGCATGGAGCATTTCCTTAATTGGATTGTTTGTACCGTTACTTGTTGGTTTGGCACCTTTATTGTTATTCTTCGATGCCTATAAAAAGATAGACAAACATCGAGAAATTTTTCTGGCATTTGCATCGCACACGACAGTTTCATTTCCAGTCATTGCTTCCCTCCTCAACGAACTTCAAATCCAAAACTCGGAACTTGGCAGATTGTCATTATCCTCTGCATTGGTCAGTGACATATTGAGCTCAACTCTTGCAAACATTGGCCATGCGATTGTTGTTTCTGCTGATAGGAAAGTCCTTTCAACAAGCCTGATCTCCTATGTTGCCTTCATTATCCTTATCCCAGCATTGTTTCGGCCAGCAATGTTTTGGATCATCAAACATACTCCAGAAGGAAGACCTGTGAAGGATGGTTACATTTATCTTATCATCGTGATGGTCTTTGGTTTAGGTTGGGTTTCAGTTAAGATAAATCAAGATTTTGTTCTGGGAGCTTTCGTTTTAGGATTGTCTGTGCCTGAAGGACCTCCATTAGGATCTGCATTGGTTAAGAAGCTTGAGTTCTTTGGTACTTGGTTCTTTCTGCCAATCTTTGTGACTACCTGTGTATTGAAAGCAGATTTTTCCATGCATTATTCACCAGTAGTTTTTACTATTATTGTCGTCGTCATCTGTGCCCATATTCTCAAAATAATAGCATGCTTTCTACCTGCCCTCTGTTGCAACATGCCCGCCACTGATGCTTTATCTCTTGCCCTCATTTTGAACGCCAAAGGCGTAGTGGAAGTCGGCACCTACTGTGCCTTATACGACGCTAAGGTATTATATTTTCACTTCCTAACAAGTCCTTAATTAATTAATAACATTTTATGTATATATATATGGAAAATCAATTTGTCATGTTATAGGAATGACACTGTTTCGTCCTGCAACAGGATTCGATACCGTATCCTGCAGGATCGGATACAGTGTCCTGCAGGATCCGATACCGTATCCTTATGGATCCGTCATGTAATATGACGAACCCTATATATAATATATATACTCTCTATCTAGCTAAATCAATAATTATTATATGTGTGTGTGTGCGTGCATGCAGTTCATGGATGGCCAAGTATATGGAATGATGATGATAAGCGTAATGTTCGTAGCAAGCATCGTGCAATGTTCTGTGAAGGTTTTGTATGATCCTACAAGAAAATATGCTGGCTATCAGAAAAGGAACATAATGAGTTTAAAACCAAACTCTGAACTGAGGATGCTTGTGTGCATTCATAAACCAAACAATATATCATCCATGATAGATGTCCTTGACTTGAGTTGTCCAACAACAGAATATCCAATAACTGTTGATGCATTGCATCTGATCGAGCTAGTTGGGAGGGCAGTGCCAATTTTCATTCCCCATCGTCTTCAAAGGCAAGAATCGGGTTCTCACAAGTCATACTCAGATGATATCATTCTTGCTTTTGATATATATGAGCATGACAATCCAGAAGCTGTAACAGCATACGCTTACACAGCAATATCACCACCAAACCTCATGTATGAAGATGTTTGCCACCTTGCGTTGGACAAAGTTACATCCATGATAATACTTCCGTTTCATCAAAGAAGGTCCATAGATGGTGGAGTTGAATCTGATGACAAGAACATAAGGGCCCTAAATTGTAAGGTACTAGAAGTGGCTCCATGCTCGGTTGGAATACTTGTTAGCCGAGCTTCCCACTCAATAAGAGACACAACCACTCGATTAGCCGTTATTTATTTGGGTGGAAAAGATGATCAAGAGGTTTTGTGCATAGCCAAACGAGCAATAAGGAACCCGAGGATAAACCTGGATGTTTACCACCTAGTTTGTGTAGCAGAATTGGAGGATCTACTGGATGATAATGAGATGCTTGAAGATGTGAAGCATTCACCAAATGTAAGGTATCAAGAGATAACAGCAAAGGATGGAGCGGAGACAGCAGCTTTTCTTCGTGATATAGTGAATGAGCATGACTTTTTCATAGTTGGGAGACGCCATGGAATCCACTCTCCTCAAACAGATGGACTTACAAACTGGAGTGAATTTCCTGAATTAGGTGTTGTCGGTGATTTTCTTGCTTCACCTGATTTTGAGACCCGTGCTTCTGTTTTGGTCGTGCAGCAACAACTCTTGCCCACCAAACGTAGTGTCTGGATATTTAATTAGTTTTGTCAAAACAATATGCTTATTTTTTATTTTTTGTTTTTTGTTTTTCCCATTGTACATTTATTGTTTGCTGAAGATTATTATGTGACAAGTTGTGTATTTATATCTGTAAGTGTTTATGGCCCAATCTTTTGATTTCGTTTTGTCACATATATATTGTTAAAAAGATGGTGTTATCAGTTATGTTATCCACACAAAAATAAAAACGAAGTGAAGGCGAATCACAAGTTTTTCACACCTGCCATTTTGCCTATAGTCCTCCAATTGTGGGCATTTGCTTTCACTATAGATAGATACGATCAGGATCTAGTGCCATATGTAGTCATAATACCAATATTAATATTATTATTTTTCGGTAAGCACCAATATTAATATCATTAGCCCGTGTCAGTTCAACCAATATATTATCAACCGAATGGGCAGCGTCGCCATCTGTATATTTTCTCAGTGTTTTGGACTTTTGTGGAGACTCTCTCCAAACATATACACTCTATACATTAATTAAAAGAATATATTTCTCTTATTTTATACGAGAAAAATTAAATTCTTATGCATAAAATAAAGATAGATTTTATCTTTTTTTTTTTCTTTTTTTTTATCTGTGAATCTCACTTGTAATATTGTTTATGCTACATGAGATAATTATTCTCATATAACATGAGAAAATAATTTTCCTTCATTAAATAAGTAGGGTTTTATTAAAAATTGCAAAATTTTATGAATTGAGGAATAAATACAAAATTTCAAATAAAAATAAAGGAAAAATATATTTAATATTACTTTAGATAATTTTGTTTAATATACACCGAAATAACATCGTTTTAAGATTGAAAAATTAAAAAAATAGAATGATAAAGACTATTATAATATTAAAATAAATTAAAATTACAAATACATCATATTTTCGCTGCAAAATGATATCGTTCTGATAAATATTGAATAAAAGGGTTCGCTTTTTCTAAAGTCAATGCAGATAACTTATCTACATTGAGCTCAAAACAACGTCGTTTTGAGACGAAAATCAAGGAATTTTTGTAATTATAATTTATTCCAGGGTTATAATAATCTTTTTCATTATAATTTTATAATTTTTTAACCCAAAACGACATCGTTTTGAATTCACTTTAAAAACATTAAAGTCTAAATAAAAAGGGATTTACATCTATCATTTAACATGACCACAACAATTTTTCTACACACAACATTTTGTGGGACCCACAATTTTTTAAGCAAAAAAAAAAAAAAAAAACTCCGGCACGCAAAACGTAACACAATCACTTTTTTTTTTTTTTTTGATAACAACACAGTCACTTTTCCTACGACATAACTCTTATAAAATCCAAATAAAAATTATCTAAAACAGTAGAAAAAACGAACCCAAAAATAAATCAAATCATCGTTTGAGTGAAATTTTAACTAGCTATAGTGCTATATACACACTTGATTTTTGTTTGTAAATGAGAGAGAAATGAGAACACTGATTAGTTGAAACGACAAGTTTGAAAAAAAAGAAAGAAAGAAGGAAAAGCAAGGGAAACATAAGATTTGAAATTTGGTCCCAATTCTTTCGTTGTTTGAACTTTGAATGGCAAGAGAAATGGTAGAAGCAAGTGCCCTCCGCAGGTATTTTCTTTCTCTCTTTCTTCTTGTTTTTGTTATTCTGTCTCTCTTTGACGCCGTTCGTTCGTTTCTGTGCTTCAGTCAAATGGCGGAGATTCAGAAGATTTGCAATGACGACGAATTAAACCCTTTGGATGGCCACAATTTACTCAACGACTGTGCTCTTCATGTCGAGGTTAGTTATTCTTAGTTGTCTTCTCACTCTCACTCTCACTTTCCCAATTAATGATTTCACTTTGAAATTTCACTCGTACAGAGCAGAGTGGAGCAGATTGTATCGGAGTTCTCCGATCTCGCATTTTTAGGAATTCAAGATTCCGGTAACTTAACTCCTCCTCCTCCTTAGTATTCCTTAATTCTTTTTTCTTATGCAATGCGTCTTGTGCGAATTTTAATTTTTATTGTTCCAGATGCTTACCTTGAGCATTTGAAAGAGGAACTTAATAAGGTCGAGGTTGAAACCACCCATGTTGCAAACCAGATTGACCTTCTCGCCAAAACTCATAACGATCGTGAGTCTCACTCTCACTAACGCCTTTCTTTCTTTCTTTCTTTTATTCACCACCACCAGCATGGATCATTCAATAAAATCATCATTATTCTCCTTTTTCCAGATCGTATTACCTTGGGGGCCAAACTTGAAGAATTGGAATGTTCTTTAGATTATATTACATCAAAGGTTCGTACTTGCTACTTTCTTCTCTTTTTGTTTTTAGAATTGAGAAGCAATTGAACTTTTTATGCTTTAGCTCATTAACCATTCCTTTGGCTAATCAGTTGTAGGGGAGTTTGTTTTCCATGTTGTAATCATATTTTGACATTTGCTTCTAATAATTATAGGATCAGAAGACATCAGAGGCTACTGAAGGCAGTGATTCCCCAATGCTGGCAGATGATTGTTCTAATTTGACCGTTGTCAATCTAGACAAGAATTTAGAGGTGTTCTTGACTTTGCCACGCTACTTGCTGTTTATTTTCTTCTTGGGCACTGAATTAATTTCGAAGACGTGGAGACTAATCATTTTGTAATCCTTTATCTGGTTCTTTTACAGCAAATATTTTTGTAGTTCCTTACTTTAACTTTTATATTAAGAGTATACTTCTGCTGTACTTTTTCCTTTCGTATATTGCAGCAATTAGAACTTGCTAATAAGATTGATGAAATGAAGTCAGTTCTAAAGTCTTTGCAGGATCTTCAGTGTAAGGTCAAATGGTAAGTTCAGCTACTCTCGCTTACTCTCTGAATATTTATCTGTACTATATGGCTTACTACTCATCTTGTTCCCTTGTTCAGGTTTGATGCTGTGGAGCAGATTGAGGATGCATTGACGGGTCTAAAAGTTCTTGCATTTGATGAGAATTGCATTAGGTTGTCAATGCATACTTACATGCCAAAATTAGAAGGTCTTTCATGCTTCGAGATAGCTGAAGATACCATTGATGTAGCTGAGCTGAATCATGAGTTATTAATTGAAGTTTTTGAGGGGACTATGAAGTTAAAGAATGTTCAGGTTTAAAAACAGATCATTATTTCTTAATTTGATTTGGTTGTGAGGAGGATCATTGTTCAATATATTTAACAATTGGGTTCAGCACTGATGTAGAAACATACTGGTATGAACCAACAACTCTGTTAGGAAAAATTAACAGTTTGAATGCCATCATTTAGGTAAGATCCTAAGAAAAAATGAGAGGCTTTTATGTCATAAAATAATTATGAGAGGCAAGATTTCAGCTTTTATGTCAGTCGCTCATGAAATAATTATTTTGTGGTTTAAGTTTGATAGTAAACATGGCCGTTATAGTTATCACTGATTTTAGTGGTTCAAGTTTAGATGATGACTGATTTTAGTTTCTTCAACTTTTATACTTACACGGGATATAACTTGTGAGGGTTTGCTTTTAATATATGATCTCTACTCTAGTTATTTCTATTTTTAATTTTAGCACCTTTGTTGTAGGTGATGAATACTCTGTATATGTTGTTTTGCACTGAAAATGTTAGAGAATGAATTTAGAAAATTTAGCAGTCGTGGAGCTATTTTTCTCGTTATATTATATGAAAGAACCCCATTCCAATATGTAATTATTCGTAAAGATCCTAGTGTGATGGAATGTTTTCCTTTTTTTCCTTTCCCAATTTCATTACAACAGACATTTCTTGGATCCCTAGTATCAAATTATGCTGTGAACTTAAGCTTTTGTAGAAGATTTAAGAAAGGTTAATTATAAGATTAGGTGCTATAGGATATTATTTCTATTCGTTAGTACTATTGCTTGATGCTTTGCATGTGATCCTGCCATTAAACAAAAACATATTTGCATTTTACCCCCCTAATCCTCTCCTTTGAGGGGAATTGGTGGATGCTTTTGATATGCTCCTGTTTGGTTATGCCTTAAGAACAGCATATCAAAAACATTATCTAAGTAACTCATTAATTTAATTGAGCATTTTTATAATCCTTATCATCTCTTGATGACTTATTGATGTTTTTGGTATTGTTATTAGGTTTTTCCAAATGATATATATGTTAATGACATTGTTGATGCGGCAAAGTCTGTCAGGTTTGCAATGTCCACTTTTTTCCTGTTAGGTTTTCTCAGTCTCTTACCCACCATTCGTTATCGGATATATCATACTTCCTGACTATCATGTACCATAATGCAGTAAGTCCTCATTGCAGTGGTTTGTACAAAAAGTGCAAGATAGAATTATACTAAGCACACTTAGGCGCCTTGTGGTAAAGGATGCTAATAAATCGAGGTGAGTCTGTTATATAGTCCTTTTGCTTTGATGTTCTTAAATTTGGTCTATGATTCAGTGTTCTCGTGCTATTCACTATTTTATGTCTCAATGTAGATATTCGCTTGAATATTTGGACAAAGATGAGATTATAGTAGCTCATATGGCTGGAGGAATTGATTCATACATAAAGTTGTCTCATGGTTGGCCACTATTTGGTTCTCCATTGAATCTGATATCCATCAAGGTATCAGATAATTTGAAGAGAACTTCTCTAAGCTTTCATTGCAAAGTTGAGGTGAGAGAATTTCACTGTGTTAGCTATAAATTTTCTCTGTCATTATTCTTCCTTGTGTTATGTGGATGTGTACAACCATTTTCAATGTTTTACCTCTATGTTCCTACTTAATTTTTTGCTTAACCAATTGAAATACCTGAGTAGCTTAGTCCAACATGTAGCCTAGTGGAATAGCCTGTGGACTCTTGGAAATTAGCAAGTTGTAATTGGCGACTAATTATATGTTCCGATGTCATATTTGGGGCCTCGTGTTCTAAACTGTAAAATAAATGGAAATTGGGGGTATATAATCTTCTTTTACCATGTAAAAAATGATTGGAAGATTTCCGTGCTGACTTTTTTCGTTTGGGTTATTGATTTTTCAGAAGTTGGCTAACTCTTTAGATACTCATATTCGGCAAAATATATCGAGCTTCGTTGATGCAATTGAAAAAGTACTTATAAAACAGTTGCAGTTTGATCCTCCAGCCAGTGATAGTTCAGGCTAAGGATATTCTCATATATGCCATGCTCATTGTAGATACCTCTGGAATCTCTGTATTTGATTGAAATTCTTTGTCACCTGCTCAAACTCGTGTTATCTACTTGGTGAAACAAATGTCTTAAAAAGATGATTTTCTGCATTTTAGACTGGAAACTGACATGCTAAATAGGTATATTTGGCATTTGAATGATCTTGATCGGTTAATCAGATATTGTGCTGGAATTGAAAATGTCAATGATTGAAATCTTATCACTTTGTGAGCACGTGATAGCCTAAATGGTATATACTTATTTATTGATATGGGGCAGGATATTCTTACACCGGTGTAAGAGTTAGAAATCTTATACTCAATCTTGACCATTGATCCATTTGTATCTAATGACTCACATTACTAAAAAATTTGAGCCCTTAGATTTAAGTGGGATTAACGGACAAGATTAAGAGTGTAACTTACACTAGTTAAAATGATCCTGACCCAATTGATATTATATTTGTTAGTTATAAACATTGCATCTATAATTGGGTCATTGATTTAATTGTATTAATTTTAATTGACAACGTTATTTGTTTGGAATTGGTAGATTTAATATTATATATACTTTTTTATATAGCAATATTATATATAGTTCTGGTGTTTCTTCGTTTCCGTTATAAGTTTACACTTACAAATTCGAAAGCTACATCAAAAGCGTAGTTATTTTACTCTTTTTTTTTAAATAAAATAAAACAAGTCAAGTAAATTAACGAAGTATATGTAGTTATTTAAAATAAAGAAAATAAAATCTGATTCAACATAAAAAATGGATAAAGATAAAAACTATTAGAATTGGTTTAATGGTAATGGATTGAGGTTATCTTACCCGAGTCTTACCTACGAAAGTGTTTCTTTTTTTTCTTTAATAATCCCTTTAACATCCTTATCCTAATTAAGTGAAAAAAGGTAGAATATTCATCACTACCAGCAAATACATATGAAATTGCAAATAGTCAAATATTCGTTTATAAATTCGATTTGGAACGGTACCTTGAAGCAATATCAATACAGACTTGAATACAAAAATGAACATTATTCAAGTGATCAACGAAGCAAGCGAAGATTTAATCCCAAAAAGAAAAAGAAAAAAAAGAGAGTATAAAATAACATATGAATATTGTTAGAAAACATAGACAGTAGTATAGCATATTTAGGCAATTAAACTGCAACACTGCGGAGCACAACGGTCTCAACAGTGAGTCCAGGTCCGAAACCGAAGAGAACACCCCATTCAAGCCCCTCACCTGTTGTGGCAAGTCCATCTTCCTTGGACTTCCTCCTCATTTCATCCAATATGAATAACACACATGCACTTGACATGTTACCATATTCACTAAGCACATGTCGAGTTGCCTCCATTTTTTGAGGTTTCAAACTTAATTTAGCCTCAACTTGGTCTAGAATTGCTGGTCCACCTGGATGTGCTATCCAAAAGATAGAATTGTAATCAGATATACCTAATGGTTGAAATGCTTCAACCAAAGCTTTCTCAATGTTCTTCGAGATGAGCCCAGGAACATCCTTTAGGAGATGGAATGTTAATCCAACTTCACGAAGGTGACCATCAATTGCTCCTTCACTATCTGGTAGAATTGTCTGTGCAGTCCATACAAGTTCAAACAGAGGCTTCTCAACCTCAGGTAATGGGTCTGAACCAACAATAACAGCAGCTGCACCATCTCCAAACAATGCTTGCCCCACAAGGCTATCAAGATGAGTGTCACTGGGGCCACGGAAAGTGACTGCAGTGATCTCTGAACAAACAACTAACACACGAGCACCTTTGTTATTTTCAGCCAAGTCTTTGGCCAAACGAAGGACAGTGCCACCAGCAAAGCAACCTTGTTGGTACATCATGTAACGCTTCACATATGGTCGAAGACCCAAGAGCTTTGTGAGCTGGTAGTCAGCACCAGGCATATCCACACCACTTGTGGTGCAAAAGATGAGGTGAGTAATCTTGGACTTGGGTTGACCCCATTCCTTGATGGCCTTTGCTGCTGCCTCTTTTCCTAGCTTTGGCACTTCCACAACCACCATGTCTTGCCTTGCATCCAATGAAGGTGCCATATACTCACATATACTTGGATTCTCCTTCAGGATCTCTTCTGTCAAATACATATATCGCTTCTTTATCATTGACTTATCGCCTGAAAAAAATTATATATATATATATATATATGCAGTTTCATTAGTCCTAATGTTTTGTGCATGCCATGATCAAAACTAAGCAATATATATATACAATTAAGCACGTAAATAAAATGAAATGAAGATATATGTGAGAGATATCTTACACATGCGCTTAAATTTTTCTTTGAGCTCAATCTTGTGCTCACTGTTTGTGATACGGAAATAATAATCAGGGTAGGTACTCTGCTCCACGCAGTTTGGAGGAGTTGCAGTGCCAATTGCCAAGACAGTGGCAGGGCCTTCTGCCCGTTGTGCCTTGCGTATCTCATCAACACTCACCATCTTCTTCTCTGAATTTGCAACGAAGAAACAGGACGAAGAAAAGATGAATGGTAGGTTAAGGTTATATATAAAGGGAAAGGAAGTGTTGATATGCTTAGCACGTTGTAGCTAATCTTTTAAGATATGATGCATCGGGTGTGTGTTACAAACTAGTCCCGAAGAAATGTATTTATATATTGGAGAAGAGAGAGTGGGTAGATGGAGATCACATGCTTAACTGACCAAAACTCTTTTTAATAATTGAAAATAAGAAGAGAAAAAGTGTATTGTGGGAGGGAGGCTATGAAGTGTTAAACTAGTATTGGAGGGTAGGTGAGTTATTATCTTCCACTTGCAAACTCCGCATGACTCCATGGACTGAAGACTCTTACTTACCAATCATATGTGGAATTAAGGACTTATTTTGAAAATTTGAAAGGTCAATATATTGTAGCTTTGTTATTAAAATAAGAAAGGCTATTACGAAACTGAATGGAAATTCGATAATTGCAAACGATCAAGGACTTGTTTGGCTTGGTCACGGATAATTTCTACAAGGACTCTACTATGAGAGGCTCCAGCGTTAGGTGAAACTACAAATTTTAAATTCAAAAACATAAAATAAAATTCATAGGATAATTCATTCTACAGTTCATTTCAAAATCGGTGTAGTTAGTATTACAAATTGATATCATCTTAATTAAGCTTCTTTAACTATGTTTGACGGCCAGTTATTATTTGTCTTGATCTCTTAATGTAAGTGCATCTGATTGCTTGGGTTGAATTGTAGAAATTTGTCTTAAAACTTTATTTATTTAAATTTGGTCAAATTAAATAAAACTAAATGCAATGAAAAGTAGTATTACTTTCACCAAAAGTATAATAACTAAGAGGTATATATTCTTCAAAAGAGTGTGATCCATAATTTGCGGTGATTGGCTCTTAATTAATATAATAGCGGAACAAACCTTAATCATGCAGCAAGGTTGTTTACGAGAAAAGAAAACAATAAAAATGAATGGCGTTTTTCTCCTATTTCTCTTTCCTAACAAATATCAAAATCACATGATTTATAACCTCCAAACACATATATAACTTAGCACATAGATATGTTTATTCTTAAATTATTGTCCATCACGATTTTATGAATACATGAAAGGATATTTTAGTAATTTTGTTTGTTTCTTTAGTATATGAATTTTGTTAAAACGTCCTTCGTTAATTCACCTAACCCTGAAAACCACATAGTTTTAGAGTTGAAGGAGATAATTTTTATTTCATATGACCAGAGAAATAATAAACCCATATATATATATATATATGAATTTATTAAGGGAAAAATATTTATGCAGTTAATGCAGATAAGTTATCTGCATTTATTACTAAAACGATGTCGTTTTTGTATTGAAATCTTAAAAAATTATAAATATGAAGACTATTATAACTCTGAGAAAAATTAAAATTACAAAAATACCATGATTTCCGTCCAAAACAACGTCATATTGGGCTTACTGCAGATAACTTATCTGCAGTAGCAGAAAAAGCGAACCCATTTATTATTTGTCATGTCATAAAACCTAGGGTAATAGTTTTCTTATGTAGTAGAAGATAAGTATTATCTCCTACACACTCATTGGTGCAGGTGAGGCCCATTTTTAGGAGAAGAGAGAAAAAAAAATAAAGTGAGATCCATCTTGAATTTATGCGTGTAGGAGATAGATTATATTTTATGCAACATAAGAATAATAAATCCTAAAACCTAACATTCTATCCGGTCTCCTAAAAACTATATCGTTTTGGGTGGGAGAAAAAAAGTTTATGTCGTTCTTTGTAGAACATAGCTTTTTTAAGTTTTTCAGTCATCATAGAGGACAGAGGAGAAGGATTGATTATATATATATATATATAGCTTATCATTTCTCAAGCTGCTTGAGATAATTTTATCTTCGGCCGCTAAATCGTAACCGTACAAAGATGAATCAATGGTGATAAAGAAAGAGAGAGAAAAAGTGAATCATGACCATTTAAAGATAAATCAATTAATATCAAAAAATAAATAAATAAAACAACATAATTTTAGACTTGAGAAATATTTTTCTTATATATATATATATATATATATATTAATTGCAAAAGAAAAACAAATCGTATATATAACAGGTAGATAGAGGTCACATTATTGACTAACTAATGGAATAAGGGGCCTTTTGGTGTGATGTATAAGGCTTGATAGTATAAGCTTATACTATACGTTATCACATTTTCAGTTGTTTGGTGTGACTATCGTATAGTATAAGCTTATACAGCAGAACTCATTAACACATCAAAATGAGGTATAACTTAATCAAGCCTAAGGAGGTGAGATTATGTCTGATAAGGAATTGATGTATTAATATTGCTTATAAGTATAATTCCCAAGAACTAATATAGCATTTCAATATTAATATATTAAAATAATTTTTTTTAATATATTAATTTTTAAAATATTAGAAGATATTTTCTTATACATTACCATACCAAATATTGGATAGTATTACAATTTAATCAAGTCTTATACTATCAGATTTTATCTTATATTATTCACCAAAATGCAATAGTGTTACAAGAACAAAACAAGTATAGCAGTGGCCAGTGGGTGGCTGAGAAATAATAAAATTAGAGTTAGGTGAGGTCGGACTCTTAAAGCAGCGCATGACTACGTAGACCGAAGACTCGCTCACTCACTTACCAACCAAAAACACAAATTTTATAAGTCAACAAATTGGTGTTTATTTAGGGCTTGCATTCCTTTCAATGTAATGGATTATGTGAGGAAGTTGGAAGGGACAAAAGACTACAAAGAATAAAATGATTTTTTAATGACCTAATCGCCCTCATATACCGTTGCAATGTTATTTTTGACGGATTGTAACCAATTTTTTTGATGTGGCAAAGAGAACCAACTTGTGGGATAATAAATATGTTAAACTTTTCAGAAACGAAGAAATCAAGGAATATAAATAGGTGGGAGGATAACGACCGTTGGATACAACAACGTCTGGTCAAGCCAGACATACTATTAATATGAAGCAAGAAATAATTTCACATTAAAAGGGTCCGTCGCTTCTCATGTGACTGCTGATAAGAAAAGTTGTAGCAAATTTTTAACACTAGGATACACGTGCGGATCCCAGGATACACTTGCGGATTCTGTCAAAAAAAAAAAAAATCCAGGATTCGAACACGTATCCTGTGTTGCTGCACTTTTTTCCTTCTGCAGTCACATAAGAAGTACTTTCCCTTAAAAGATCGTGAAAAAAAATAGACTAAGCTAATATAGTATAAAAAGTATTAGTTCAGAGCTCTCGAAATATATACACTAAGATGATATTACTAATGCATTTGAGTTAAGATAACATTTATACAAATTAATTATCTGTGAATATTTTAATAATTTAAATATACACCTTAATTAGATTTATACAAGAATCTATATTTGTTAAAAAATATCATATTACAAAAATATTTTTTATACTAAATTTTTTATATAAACACAAGCTGCTTTTAACTTTATTTTTTGAGCTCAAAACTAAAAGTTTAGCAATTAAATTGATTAACTTAAACATTAAAATTGACTCTGCCTTTTTCATCGCCCACTAACAATTAAAAAATAAATGGATGGTAATTAGCCAATGAAAAGAAGATTTTTTTTTTTTTTTTTTTTTTTGTATAGTATTTTCATTCGTTATTTCTATTCAACCTTCTCCAATCACTTTGTCCTCAGAGTACGGTCCGAAGACTACCCCTAACCCAAACAAACCCTTAAAAGCTCAGTTACCAACTGAGCTACTCTTGGGAGTTGAAAAAAAAAAGATCTTTTAGTGACTTGCTTCGTGTAACAGAAATTTTGCTAAACACCTCTATATAGTTGTACAGGATTTGGATTTTCTCACGTGAAAAAAATATGACATGATTATACGAGGAATCATAATCGACGAAGATACATTATCCATTTTCTTAATTATCCCCCCTCAACTTAATCCTAAACTTTAGAGTCGCCAGGAACCATACGATTTACATGATGCGAATTAATTTTTAATTTTCCACTGATTTTATTATTATTTATGTTAGTGAAAATCTCTTTTGAAGGAACGCAAGAAACATGTGGGCATGCCGGAGTGGTTATCTGGCATGACTAGAAATCATGTGGGCTCTGCCCGCGCAGGTTCGAATCCTGCTGCTCACGGTTTTTTTAGCATCGTTTTTCATTCACGTGATTAAGATTTTTGGGTGTTCTCACTAATCGCTTGTTCATTCACTAGGGGAACGGGGAGGAAATCAGAAGAGAAAGACTTGTAATCTAATAAAAAAAACTAACATCATGATATGTCCCTAAGGTTATCACATATGCTTTCTTAATTAATCTTTCACATTTACATCATGTTTCTCACTTTAATCATTCTTTTTCTTTTTTTTTTAAATGGAAATTACAAAGTTGTTGTTTAGCTTGGAAGGGAACAGGAGGTAAAAAGAGAACTGAAATGTCAAGTCAAGATTCAAATCAAATTTCTTGGCTACCAGGTGTTTGAGTATTAGTAGGATGTTGTGGACTTGGAAAAACAGGGGCTTCCGAGGGTTTATTTCCCATATCCTTAGTTTTGTGAAGTAGAAACGTCCCAGATAATATTGTGACAAAGCCACACAACTCAGTAGCAATCTGCGAAGCATTTTGTGTGTCCCATTCCTGCACAATAAATAATACATCATCGACTAAGTGTTTCTTTTAATGGGATATTGTTTTAAGACTTGTGCAGCTATAAGCCTAACAAAGCTATGAAGCTATGCAGATAAAAAAGAACTTCATCAATAATGATAAGCCTCGTTGTGACAGATTTTAGGCTTTCTATGTTATTCTTATACTCAATTGAAAACAAAAAATAAATTTGGCTCTGTTTGATTACTGTTTTTAAAAACAGTTTTTTAGTTTTCGGAACAAAAAAACAAAAATACTCGTTTGGTAAAGCCTGTTTTGTAAAAAAAAATGTAACTATTTTTTTGTTTTTAGAATCAAATTTAGAGAACATGTCTGAGTTGTTTTTGTTTTTTGTTTTGGTTTTTAACTTTCAAAACAAAAAAAAAAACACAGAAAACAACTGCTTTCGTAATTATTCTACAAAACAGTTTTAACAACGAACAAACCAAAACACAATCAAACGCAACCAAAACTGCTTCAACTCAATATTATATAATACACATGAAATTATGATTGATCCAATACTATTAGTGATTATGTAATCGCCGTCATTCAGTTTTACTTTGCAATGTGAGGAACTAAGCATTTTTTGGGTCCATGAACTACCATTATGTTCAGATAATTTAGTAACATCACCATGTACACCATTGAATTAAAGTAAGAAATGTAAAAAGAAAAATCCAAAATTATGGAAGGAAACAAGTCACCTTAAACATGATTATGCTGGCGATGATGGTAAATGATGTAAACATGACGTAGTAAACTGGTGATACGACAGCAGTGTTATATATGTCCAGAGCCTGCAAACATGTTTTCCAAATTAGAGAAATTACATAACAGAACAACCCATATGGTTATTATCCTGAACTGCTATCTCAACATATACTTATTTCCATTCATTTTAAGAAAGTGCTGAAACGAAGTAGAGTTTAACTGTTAAGTACACTGGAAATTATCATATACTAGAACATATTCTGTATATTCAACATCTTTCTAGTGTCTTCTAAGTATATACAAGATTATGAAATGCAAATCTGCACATATATAATGGCACATGCATTAATTTTAGACATAATGCAAAAGCTTACCTTGTTCAAGTAGTTAATCTGCAAAAGGCAACATCCTATCACGACCATCGTAAAGAACCAGGTCTCAAAGTAAATAAATTGATTCATCCCTTCAAATGTAAGCTTCAAAGCTATTCCCACTGCTTTCACACTCATAACCTATGCAAAAACTAGGATCAGCATTAAATTTGCAGAGGGCAAGTTTATGGTCATCCCTGATGCGTACGTATGAGCATTGAACATTAGAACATGAAATTAATACCGTAATTGAGCCAGTGAGAGAACATATTCCAATATATACGATCATGTGGCTCTGTCCATATCTTCGCGCATAACGGAAAATAAGGACGGAAACTAGTATCACAACAGCGCATGAGTAGACTATAAAACCTGTGTTCATGGAATAAAAAATAAAAATAAAAACACAATCCTAGGATGTTAGCTTAATTAACCAGAAATGAATGTCTTTGAATCCATAAGGCATCCCATCCCACTCAAGTAATTAAGGATTCAAGAATACCTGGTTCTGTAGCAAGTTGCCACACTTCTTTGACAGAGTGAATGTCTTTTTCACGTGGTGCATGCAAAACAATAGTTGTAGATCCAACCATGCATAGAGCACATCCAAGTACGCCAAAGATGTGCAATTTCTCTTCCAAGATACAGTGAGCTAGCATCGCACTGCATCATTATCTGAGGTTGTTACTATTTCATGCATGTAGCAACCATATTGAAAGTCGATATATATATATAGAGGAAATATTCTTACGATCAAAAAAATCTACTACCAACCCACTATGTATTAATCACAATTAGATCAAAAAGAGAGAATGCTAAAAAGTTCCTAAAGAGTGTTGATTAAATGGTGATTAGATAGGTAGTAAGTTGGTAGTAAATTTTTTTGGTAGTAAGAATATCCCCTCATATATATATATATATATATATATATAAGGGGAAGGATCCGTAACAAAAAATTTATAAATATAATACTCCTATATATATATAGGCGTTAATAGCTCTCCGGTTGCTGTATATTAGAAAATTTGCAGTAACACTCACTTTCATCAGTATCGTTCTGTATCCTAAACTTTTTTTTTTTTTGGTTAATTTCAGGATCCGGCTCCGTATCTTAGTATAATTTATTTACTGCAAGTTTTTCTATCATCAGCGACCTACAGCAGAAGTGAGGAACCGATATATATATATATATATATATATATATATGCACACCCATATATTTGTTGTGAAGAAGCCTATGTTACCTACCTGAAAATGATGCTTAAAGCTCCCAAAGGGGTTACAAGGAGCGCAGGAGCAAATGCGTAAGCCGCAAAATTGGCTATTTCCCCAACAATCACTACAAAAAAATTTAAGCATATAATTTAGCATCAAATACCGAAAATGGGTTTATGTCTTGATGAAACTTTCTCATGTTCAATGGGAACAGAAACACAAACGTTTGCAATTACAAACTATACGTGGGAATTTGGAACTATGGCCTTGGGAGGATTGATTTGCTTAATGATAAATTGGATCGCGCATGCAACAAAATTAGTCGAGAGGAATATTATTTAATACTAATAGGTAGCTTACATAATAGACCTTGTAAGGATTTCATGCAGAAATAATGCTAACGTAAATGATTAGAATTAGAATATGTAAATTAAAGGGAAAGAAAAAAAGAATGAAAAATGACTCACTTGAAATCATTCCAGCCCACCAAAATGGCTCATACAGATACGCATGCCCTCCCGAGGCTGATCAAATTAAAGAACAATAGATAGTTCCTAATGTCAATAAAAGAAAAAAGAAAAAGAAAAAACCAAGTTCGATACTTTAATATAACCCAGATGAAAGGTGGAAAGATATATACGAGAGGAGGTGAACCTGCTCTTTTCCCATTACTGGCAGCTTTTCTAAGACCCATCTTTTTAATTATAAAGCTAGAGCCAATGAAAATGCTGGAAGACAGAGCCAAAACAAGCCCAATTACGTTGTCATGAGAGATCCCCATGATGTCTGTCCCACCACAATTAAAAAATGATAACCAAAAGGTCCTTCAAGTAAAGAATCAAGCTTGCAGGGCCAAGATGTCCAATCCAATGCCTTGACCTTGATCAATATCCATAACAAGACAAAGAAAAAGAAAAAATTGAGGAAAATCAACAAGAGATATAACAAAAGAAAACATAAGAGAAAGGTACCTTTTTTCTTGGCACCCTGCAAACAAGAGTTTTGTAGCTAAAACCTCCTCATCTTCAAAAAGCTGTGTTGTATGAGTATAAAAGTTGAAGAGGTGATGCAATGGAGATTCAGATGGTGATGTTGGGGCGTTCTCTCCAGAAAGGGAGAGAGAGAGAGAGAGAGTAATTGAGACGCCACAGGCAACGGTAAATTCGTTACCTGAGAGCATCCCAGAAACAAATGACAAATACGAACCACTAGTTTATTTCTTTCCTAGCAAATCTTAGATGTCCACCGCATCCCGCGTTCTCTTTAATTGTCTTTATGCAAGTTGGATTTTTAATTTCTTTTTAATTTATATAATTACTTTAACTAAAGTATAACACGTTACACAAAATTAAATGAATGCTTTTTTTTTCTGAGGTTACAAGGAATTGAACACAACACCCTACACTATACACACCCCTAACTCACACACCTCACACCACTAGGCTAACCCTAGTGGTAAATGAATGCGAGAGCCGAATAATAACTCTTCTGAGTCTTCAAAATATTTATTTATGATTGAGTTATTTGAATATTTATTATTGGGTTCGCTTTTGTTGCAGTTACTGACTTACTGCAGATAAGTTATCTGTAATAAGTCTAATACGACTTCGTTTTGGGACGGAAATCATGGTGTTTTTATAATTTTAATTTATTTCAGGGTTATAATAGTCCTTATATTTATTTTTAAAGATTTCAATACCAAAACAACGTCGTTTTTGAAATAAATGCAGATAATTTTTCTGCATTAATTGCAAAAACATTTTTTCCTTTATTATTTTATTTTATTTTAACTCTTGGATTGGATCTGCCTATGGAAATTGTCACGTTGTTATTTGAAAATAGACAAAGAAAAATAGAAAATTATATTAAAGACAAGTTTTGAAAGACCATACAGCCTAGCACATAGACTTTATATGTTGATAACCACGTCAAAGTTCGTTCGTTATTCATAAAAGATCAATGCGAGAGCCGAATAATAACCTAGTACATTGCGCGAAGTAAACAGGTGGCTAAGAGAATATGCTCTTCTTTTTCTTTTCTTTCTTTCATATTCTTTTATGGAGAATAAATTTTTATTCGTACGAATGTCATACATATGGGACTAACGTAAGATGATATGATATGAATACGATTATAAGCATAAGAAGATGCTCATTTATACAGAGTTATAAAAGATCAATCATTACTCGTTGTTACCTTCGATTTTCATAAATTATTTCACTGGAATTTTATTGGACTAGAGAAAACAGCAAATAGTATTATATATACGAGGAAGAATAACATATCTCAACCTCAAATGTTAAAATTTAAATGAAACTATTTTAATCACGAAGTAGAATAACAAGACTAGAGTAAATCCGATGATTTTCTTTCTACACTTATTTAGTCTTGAAAAGAAAATACAACAAAAATTCATCTAAAAATACTTGATAATGTTAATTAAAAAACTGCAAAAGCTCCAAACTTAGAGTACATGTCTTACTGTAGCATTTAACGTTGCCGTGAAAAACTAAATACACTATGAAAAACAGAACGTTTATTTTCAAAAAAAAAACAACAAATTGGAATGCTGATCATATCTATAAGAAATTTATGGAAAGGCTGACGTCAGGGTAGAAAGCAAAAAAATGGAAGAAACGAACAACAAAAGCCAAATAATATTCTCCCTAACGTTGTACTTCCCGTATTTATTTTTATCCCATGTATGTACATACAATAAAAACATGGATATACTTGACAATCTTCAGAAATAAGTCTCACTAATCATTGATACTTCAGAAATCTTCCTCAGCTTATGGACGCATAAAAGTGAAGTGCAAGGATCAGCAGGCTGACCCATAACTAAATGCTATAACTGTAAATGGCCTTTACTGTCTCCTTCAAAATAAGTTCGTTACCACCTGTCATGAATGTGATACTCCAAATTTATCAAGAAAATTCCAAACTTGTCGTTCCAGCCATGCCTATTCTCTGCCTCCTGAAGACATATATATATGCCAATTTAATCAGGACCGCTCCAAACTCCAAACCCACATTTTTTCTTCAAACAAGCAGGTGACAATGACACGGCTTCATTATACCTGAAAGCACTGCGTACAAGGAACCTTTATAAGGTGGCATCCCTCACATTTAATTTTTAGCAGACATCATCAAGAGAATGTCTACCGGAGTATCTTGGTTCCTGGTAAGATGGGTGGTTATACGAAAAACTTGCAGAGGAACACTCGTAATGCCAAACTGGATGCATATGTAAGGAACTTTCTCCCCACACCACTCCCTAATTCATCCATCTCCCCATTTTTATTGTCATAATCTTTCTCTTCTTGTTGGCACGATGCTTGGCAGTAATTCTCAACTTCCGCTTGGCGTTTCGCATAGGATTGATAACAGCCATGAGCTTTTCTTCTTGTTTCCTCTTATTTCTTTTCAACTTACGGTTCTTCCTGATAAGGTTGTAAACTTCCACAAAGTTCTGAGTACCCAAAATATTCTCTACTTTTCCACTGGTGTCTTCAGCTAACTTTTTGAGATTATCTGGTAAAAAAGAGCAAAGCTCGGTAAGCTGTCAGGCAGCATTAAGTCATTAACAAAGGGGGAGAGAAGTGGTAAAACTAAAAATGACAGAAAGGAGGGCTTGGTAAAGATAAAACTAGGAAAAAGTAAAGGAGAGAAGTAACCATTAACAATATATTAGAACATTAGATATGTCTAGTTACCCCTCACCCCACCAACAAAATACAAAATTAAGGAATAATTAAAAAATGGAAGATAAAGGGGGGGGGGGGGGGGGGGGAACTATCAATTACAAGATATGGATGGATGAGGATCCTCTCATGTTACTGATGGGCCTTCAATAAAATAACCAAGCCCATTAATTAGGAATTAGTATATATAGAGATGTTTAGGGTGGGGCTTCTTTAGGCATGTATTCACTGAGTTAGGAATTAGGAATTGGGAAAAGGATCTTTAGGGATCTCTTGAAGCCTTGGTATTTGGCTTTGAGGGTGAGTTGAGGCCTTTGGTTTATGTTATCTGCATTGTCAAGTAGTTACTGTTAATTGTCCTATTGTTGGAGTCTGTGAGTAGCACAAGTGTCAGTGTCTCTGTTTCATTTTCTGCCATTGTTTTGCACTGTTATTGTAGTTCTACTAGTAGGATTGTAAGGAGCTAGTCTCCAATTTCATTATTCCTTTTCTCTGTTACTCACTAAGATGAGAGGGTCATGTTACGAGCGACGCAGAAAAGCAATTATAGTAGGATCCCCTAATAATTTATGTAGGGTCCAGTGATTTTGTTTACGTTTTTCTCTCCAATGACATGATCCTCTCATATTTAGTGAGTAACATGAAAGGATCCGGATCCAAATTGGAGTGTGTATAGAAAATTTCCAAGTCAATTGTGAGCAACGCCACTTCAGTAAGATGGCTACGTATCACAGACTTAAAACTTACCTACCATACAGGAAAATAAGGAAATCTTAGGGAGGAAACAAGCAAAACTCGCTACATTTCTACTTTTCCTAGATAAGAAAAACCAACCAGTTACAACTTTTCCAGCAAATCCTTCACAAACTTTATACAGAGGTAACAGGACCACGTGTGCATAGCGCAGGCAGTCATCCTGACTAATCTGTGACATAATATTCCGGAAACTGTTGAAGACTATTCCCATCTGTATTAAACAAACAAATAAAATTACTGATAAGCACATCGATCAAGAATAAAATAATACATATACAAAGAGCTTGCGTACAAACCTGGATAGCATCCATTTGAAGGGCAATTTTCCCCATTTTCCTGAGCAATAACGAGACAAGTACATATTGGGTGTTATAAACATTCAGCTGATTGTTGTCTTCATATACAGAAGGGGTAAGAGACGGGGACATGAACATGTTTCTTCCTTTTCTTGAATCAAGCAAGTCAAAAGCTTTAAGAAACCGGTCCTTCTCGTGTTGCTCAAGAGTAGACCAGAATGCAGGGGGATCTATGCATGCAATGTGCCCCATTAAAGAATGGACACCACAAATGGCAAAGACAATGTTCTGGGTCATCAGGTTGCTGTCAGCATCATCTACGAGTGGCATTTTCAGTTGGCAGCAGAGGGAAGTAGCTATCAGAAACAGTCTACTTGGACTCATAATAAAATAACTTCTTAAGGAGCTATTATGATTTTCTCTGCTAGCATCTGTTACATGTGAAAAGTATAGTTCTACTAGGCGAACTGATCTGTTGCGTATCCATGAGTGCGGGTGCAACAGCATCTCACATATTGCTTCCCATATATCCTGAAATGTATGTAAAACAAATTAGATGTCAGTGTGCTTGTTAAGAAATATGGAAACTGAAGAGTGGGAAGTTAAACAGAGAAATTTTGATTCTTCACACAATGGTGCAGGTAGAAAGGGCAGCAAAAAATTCTCTTGCAATATACAGCTCCAGAAACAGTAGAACCACTAGGACTTTAAAGTTTATAATTTTCTGTTTCCCCATATTGTTAGATCATAAAACCATTATAGTGCTTCCCCCCAATAGCATAAGATTATATGAGAATTATTACTTGACATGGTACCGTGGATTTACACATTATACACACTTCAAGCACAAAGTGCTCTTGTGTGTGTGTGTCTTAGAGATGTAATACCATATGCCTAGGCCTGACACTATTAGCTTAAGATTTTACGAAATTCGATCCTTAACATAACTGATAGCACCTTCAATTTTTCAATAACTCCCGCAACAACTTTAATTTTTCCTGTTCCAATTAATTACCAAATAGCCCATGATATCAATCTATCACAGCAGTTTCATAAAATTTGAACCATCCCCTTTCGGCCTTTCCTTCATAACTTCTATCCAAAACCCAAAAAAATAAAAAAAATAAAAAATTACAAACCAACTCCAATAAGCGAAACAAGCAATCTGCGTGACCTTTTTAAGTTAACAATCAATTGGCATAAAACATGATGGCACAATCTCCAAAATTAACGCTCTGACAGAATCTGTTAAATTGAAGGCCGAAAAATAGCTGTGGTTCAACTTAGAAATTAGTTATTGGGTGCCCACATCTATATCCCCATCCATGCTTTTCCCAGCCAAATCCAGAAATCCTTAGGCAGTCCACCCTATCTAGGAGAGTTAAAAGAGCCAGGGGCTTTTGGCCCGGCTCGTGTAGACCTGGCCTGGTTTGTGTGTTTCGGTTGTTAGATTCAGACTTAGACCTGTATAAAAACTTATTTAATAAGAGGTCTCAGGTTCCAATTCAAAAGCCCGGCCTTAAAGCCAGTCGGGCTGGCTTACTAACTCTTTTATTTTTTATACTAACCTAATTTTCACTCTCATCGTCGTGCCCACTCAAGCCATTGATCAACAACGTGTGAAGGACGATCCAACCCTCCAAAGCTACGGTATACGGTTAAAGCATTAATTTGCAGTGCAGATTGGTTACATAATAAGTACGGTATAAAGAAAAATCAGAAGGTACTAATTTACTTAATTTAAATTGTTTTATATCTTATGATATTATAATTGAATGTCAAAAATAATCTGACTTTATTTTTTATGTTGGAGGAGGCAACATCACAATATATTAAATTGCTGACATGAGTATATTAAATTGTTTACGCAGAATTTGTAATCTTTTGTTCTTTTGGATATGCAGAATTTTGTACTACTTTAGTTTATTGGTTTAGAAAACTTCTTGAATGATTTTGTTCTATATTATGTTGTTTGGATATACATTGAATTTATGAATCTTTATGGAATTATTAGTACTGTTGATTGTATATTATGTTTGGATAAATTTTTGTTGTCTTATTTGTTTTTAAGAGGCTAAGTCAGACTTTTATTTTTTGTAAATAAGTCAGTTCACAAGCTCATAATTATATTCATAACAGATTACAGGCTAGGCCAGTCTAACATATTTAAACACAAGTTTAGCCTTTCAAGACCAAAGCCTGGCCCGTTAACACCCCTAACCATATCTATCGCATCATAAATCATAAGCATCTACATAGACTAAAATATCATAAGCAACACATTTATACACATCAATATCGGGATCCATATATATTTTTTAGACAGTACAAAGAGATTTACCTCAAGATCCTTTGAAAAGCATAAATCGTAGAACTGATGAATCATCTTTTCCAACATAACAAGAGAATAGTATGCCTCCTTCCAAAGGGGAACAATAGATTCAGCTGAAAAGCCCACTTGCCTGTCCGTCATTGCATCTATGGTTGACTGCAAGATGTGATAAGTTACAGGCAAGATAGAATGTATATGTTTATTAAATCCTTTCTTCATCACCTCAATCAGCAGCCCCAAAACCTGTATCAGCAATTTCAGAGGTCAATATAAAATGATGCAAACAGGAAAAATAAAAAGCCTACTAAAGCTAATTAGTAATTAGCTGATATAATTTTTCTGGGGACAAAAGATCCAAAATAACCATATGATCTGGTAAGAAAATCATGGCATATTACAACCAAAAACCAAAATACTAAGAAGATATGGTATTTAAGTTTATGCTCTAATGAATTCATGATTCACAAGAAATTTTAGAAAACATTACCTGTGCTGCAGCAGCCCATAGTTGCTTCTTGCCACCCAAATACCAAGAAAGAGCACACTCAAGAATGGAATTAAGTGAATTTGGACTAACAGAACCAATGAGCTTCTTTATAGCAGCCCCACTCATAGACCGAACATTATTATCATTATCATTGGCCAAGCAAGCTACCAAATGGACAAATAATGTCTGTGATTGCTCATCCAAAACACTTTTTGGAAATTTGACAATAATAACATATATCATTTCGAGAACAGATTCCCGTCCAGTTGAATGCTCATACCTGTAATGATTAAAATATCAACAAGCCCAAATCAATCTTAAAAAAGAAAAAAAAAAACTATAATATTAATAATCAAGAAACACACTATGCTGAACACTTGCCTCAAATTTGAGAGCAGGAAATCCAGATGTTGCTGCAAGCGCTTTTCGGAAAGTTGATAATCAAGCAAAAATTGCAACAAAATTTTACTGCATTTCTTGCGAATTGATTCCATTTGACTTGTCACCATCAATTCAGCAACATGAGTAACAAGGTCATATATCTCCGGTACAACCAGCTTTCGGCTGACAATACCCTTTAGAAGTGATAGGGCCACCAAAGATGGATTCCTTTCGAGATCAAGAAATATAGGAAGCTGAATTAGTAGATGTATTTGATCTGAGGTAAGAGAAATTTTGGTGTTCCTCAAAAGCACAGTCAGCAATGTCAAGCATGACTGCATTAAAGGACTGTTAGAGTTCATCGAACTCTGGGCAATATCCAATAGAGCAGCCTTTACTCTCTCAGCATGTAATTGAAGGGATGGTAAGGGCAACTTTACCAGTATAGTAAGGCATCCAAGGGAAGCAGACAAGATATCCTCATACTTAGAGCACAAGCCATCACTTAATAGCTTGACAAAAGGATCTAATAAGGATAGAGTATTTTCATCTTTTGCATCCTGTTTCATACCCTTCATACGTTTATGTAATATTCTGAGACCAAACACTGTAACAAGGTGAGAACACAATAAGCCACTAGCAACTACACGGCCTGTAGAAATTTTTTTCGCATTGATGCGGCTATCCTTGTCTTCCAATTTTATCGTTTTATTCTCATACCAACCATTTTCATCTTTAAAGCCATCTTCAATAATGCCATAAATAAAGATAAAGAGATCAGTCTGATCTACAGATGGATTGCTTTCAATGCCAGCAGCTATATGATGCAACATGTTTTCCAATTTTCCTTTTACATTTGGTGTCACATGCTTCTGCAAATGAGACATCACTGGTGCAAGGAGCTTTAGCGCATAGCTTTTGAATGTTATGCTTTGGGCAACCAATTTCAAACTTTCAAATGACTTCTTCCTCTTTGTTTCTTTCATTTTAGCAGCTATCTTTTCCACCTCCTTTTGCTCAGCAACATCTCCAAGAATGTCATTCTCTATCACAGAAAGGAGATCCCCCAAGCAATAATCTATCTTTCCAGTAACTGGATTCGAAAGACACTTAGACAAAATAAAATTAAGTGTATATCCTAAGACATGAAGCTCATATCCTCGCTTTAAGGTAGATTGCAAAACCTTGAGAATGAATTGCAAGTATTCCAGTCCAAGTTCCTTCAAACAAGTAGCCAATGCTGACCTAGCTTCATCACGGATGCTTTCTAAATGACTCTTTAAGAAGTTTGAAATACGATGAACAATAGTTGGAAGATACAAGTCCATTACATCTCCCGGAAGTAACTTGAGTAGTTTCAGTGCAGCAAGACTGATATTTACATTAACCCTTTCTGAATCAGAATCCAGCAGCTTTTGTATCTTCGGAAGCACAATTTTATAGAGGCAATTTTGTATCTCTGTGTTCACATCAGAAGTACCGAAGTTGCCTAAGATAGCAGAAGAAACAATGTCCGTTATTCCTATACCAGAAACACCACCCAAAGATTCCTTAGGTTCTTTAGTGTAAGAAAGTTCAGAAAAGTGAAATTTATCCAAAATAGAGCAAATCAGGCGTATAAAGAGTTTCTGCTTGTCTGGACTACTGGTCGTTCCCCGAAAACATCTGATCAATAATCCATAGTATGACTTCCATCCCATCTGACCAGCTACAGAAGCAATAGTCTCTATGCATGCATTTTTCATATGTTCTGCCTTTACTTCTTTCTCATCAAACAACATGTTGAAGAAGAGTCGCATGAACACTTTCTCAGTGATGAACTGGAATTAAACAATAAAATAATTAATTTCAGTAACTAGGAAAAACACTTGTGAATGTATAAAGTTACTACCTCTGATAACTTGTTCATACTGATAACATTCCTAAACCATGACAATGCCTTCACTCTCTTACGGATCTGCAACACCAAATGTACTTACATGAGAAGTTCTGCATGCTAACTCCACCAAAATTAAGGAAAGGAATAGCTGAATAACAATACAATTAAATTTGATAGTGTTTTTATAACATTAAGGAAAGGCAACAGAAAGTAGTTCCATTATAGAATAACTGTGGCAAACATCTAATCATGATATGTTTGGAATAAAAAGCCGCATATATACGTAAAGAAGTGGCACAGGCAACTAAGAGTAACAACTACACTGAATATTCCTTAGGTTAAAAAGAAACATACCACTGAGTCAGTTAAATTATCAAAGAAAGTCACTTCACCATCCTCATTGAACAGGACCATAAGTGATTTAAGGTTTAACACTTCCGGAAGCTTCAACACCATTTGATGTAACAATTTTATCCATCCCTGCAATGACATGAACCAGTGCATTAACATAGAGGATTAAACAATCATTTATTTGTAACTTAGATTTTACATTATCAATCAGTATTTAACTTAGTATCTATGTCAGTTTAATCTTCCCATCATCCATGCCATGCTTGGAATTAGGAAAGGCAGCAAAACACATACCTATAATATTGCCACAAAAGAAGGGAGACAAGCGAGAAAGTCCAAATATATGCAGATGCATGCCTAACTCCATATATTCAGAAATTCATGCATCGTAACACTGTTATGTTGTATAACTTAAGTTACCAAATACCTTTCTAACAGAAAGTGATCCATCCATTGCATCTGCCATATGCTTCAAGAGAAATTTCTTCGCTATGCGCTGGATGCATGATATTGTCCAACCACCATCAGTGTTTTTCATCATGGACAACTCTTGTTCACTGTTTCTTTCTTGGTAAAGGATGAGTGCAGAAAAATCAACAAAAGATAGCAATGAACTATAAGCGCTACACATAAAAGTCGTTTCTTCTGATGACATGTCATGAACACAATGCGATAAAATAAGCAATGCATGTTCCACTCGAATGCTTCTGAAGAAATCAGTATTAATGATGCTGTAAGCATTCAAAATAGCATCATGATCAGGCCAACCCAAAGTAGATGTTGCATTCAGCTGACGAAGCAGTTTTGCCTACATCACAAGAAGATAGCAGAGAAAATTTTATGAAACACAGAATGAAGTCTATTTATATCAGAAAGTATATGCACGGAGCAAGAGAGACAAAGAGAAGGAATTACCACCGAGAGTAAAGATGCATCAGATGCTACAAGAGCATCAAGAAGATCACAGATCTTTAATCGCATATCCAAATCAGCCAAAATATATAGAGGAGAAACAGCACTGAGAATTTCAGTGGTACTTCCATGTTCTAATAATGGTATGATGTTTTGAATTATTTGCAAAGCTTCAACATAAACATCTACAATATAACCAAGAGAGTTTCAATATCAATTTAGAAATTAATTTGTAAAATAAGCAAACGAAGAAAATAAAGCAACTGTAGATATACGAGATTCTCTCACCAGAACTTTGGGTTTTCTTTTCCATAAACAGAAGCAATATGTCCACAAATTTCTTTGCCAACTCTGCCTCCTTGATGTACTTGGGCAAAAATTTGAAAATTCTTCTCACTGACTCCCCAGGAGATTTGATCAGCTTTCTGATCATTTAAGGAAAACAAAAAAAACATAGAGAAAAACATTAAGAACTTGTTTGTATTCAGTTTTTTCTAAAAAAGAAAATTTTGATTTTTAGAACTAAAAAACAAGAAAACCTATTTGATAAGGCCTGTTTTGTAAAAATAGTTCTAAAATTATAACTGTTTTTTAGTTTTTACAATCAAATTTAGAGAACATATCTAAGTTATGTTAGTTCTGTGTTTTGACATTTAACTTTCAAAAAAAAAAAAAAACACCTATTTCATTAACTATTCTACAAAACAGTTTTAAGAACAAAAAAAGCATATCACAATCAAACAGGCCCTAAATGCCCAGGTCCCCATGCTCCTACATATGTTATTATACATAAAAACATATTGTTTCTTTCTTTCAGGCATAATATGGAATCAGTGGAATCAGAAAACAAGGAATTAACCTATTCATATGTACACATGTTTCCTGAATATGTCAGTATTTATTTAATCTTGTTATTTTTCACATAACCTGATTGAGTTCACCAACTCTCCTCTTCTGCCTCGTACACTAGAAACTTCCAATTGTATTATCATAAGGTATTTGTTCCACTACAATCCTAATCCTATTGATGAATTATGTTTACCGTTTAACTCCTTATTAGGCCTTTGTATCGTCTTTGTCCTCTATTTTTAAACTGTCAAGGACCAACTTTTGAAAAGCTTAAGCGGTACATTGAGGCATATAAATGGTTTTATATCCAACACACCTCCTCATGTTGAAATCCTTTCTGCATGAAGTGTAGACAAAGCATAGGCCCACTCTACCTTATGCATAAATTTCACTTGGTAATAAAGGCTTTAATACCATGTCAAGGACCAACTCTCACAAAAGATTAAGCTGTAAGTTGAATGAACAGGATTGGTGTATATTTAACATACAACGGACATCAGAGGTAAAGCTCTCTAACACTCAAAATGACAACAAGCTATGTTTGATGAAACAACTGCTTAACACACACCAATGAGAACCAAGTCAATCGTCGGTTACATTCAGTTTTATACTCGCAAGATTGGTCCATATGGGAAAATTGATTGTCTAAAGGATTGCCCTAGAAGCATGTATTTGGCCGTATGAAGATACCTAATCCCTTGGGACAATGAATTACTTTTGTTTGCCTCCTGCTCTTAACAGCTATCATTCATCACTGGCTCCCTTATCAACTAGACATTAAAAATTCGTTCTTGCACAGATAATTACAGGGTACTGTATTCTTATTAAAAGGTAACTTCATTTTATGGAGGAGTACAAACGAAATGCAGTTGCCAAACCCAATGCAGAAGCTGAACATCAAGCCATGATAGCAAAAAAGGCTAGTTTACATGGTTTAAAAACTACTTTGGGAGCTAAAATTGGGAGAGCTCAGGCAAACAGAAATAATATGTGACAACCCAGCTGCCAGGCATATTGCTTCTGAACTAGTCTTTTGCAAAAGGATCAAACACAGATTTTTGCAATTAGTTAGAGAGAATATTCTTTTACGCAAAATTACCACAGGATTTGTTAAATTCAATGACCAGTTAGCAGACATATTTGCCAAGTCTCTTAGAAGGCCAACAGTTGAAAAACTCAGCATATGCCAAAGTTTAGAAAGTAAAAACTCAGAAATTCAAACTTCTTAGAATGTCAACCATTAAACATAAAAAAGAGCATCATCCAAGCACATTTGTAAAATGAGCTCATACCTCTTGGCTGCATTATTGCTTCTAAATAAACAACACATGCTGTTCATAAGTACTTCAACGTTTGAAAGTAAAACTCTCTGGGCAGAACTGTCTTCATTATCCAACTGATTGTCAAGGCTTAACAAGTTCTCCACAAACTTTAGAACACTATATATAACAGCTTCGGAAGCTGACTTGACAGAGATAATTGAAAATATATCAGGTACAAGACTCTCTTTCTTGCATAATAGTGCTACAAGTTTATGGTTTGCACTCATGGCCAGAAAGCAAGACAACAGTGAACTTGGTTTCTCACTATTAGCAGCCTCCTGTTTGAATTTGTCAATCAGTGGTTTTACTGACGAAAAGAATCTGTCCCACAAATCACAACCAAATTCATGATCTTCATATTTATTGAGAACAAGGGAAACAATTTTCAGGCACAAAGATCTCATATCCTTGAGCTGCTTCAATGTATTGCCGGTCTGCAGAAACAAATCCAGAAATAGAAGAACTAAATAAAGAGACAACAAAGATCATAAGAAAGAGAAGGGGGTGGGGAAATTTATTCCCCACAGCAGCTCAGCTAATCTACTTTTAGTTGCCATCAAGCAACAAAAAGCAAATAGAAAACAAGCCAAACAAGCTATTAGGAAAGCAACTAGACACATCAGTACCACTAAGACATCCATTAAAAAAAAAAAACACTCCCCATTAAATCCCGACTAGCGAAGGCAGGGATAAGGGCAATACTTGTAGAAAAATATGACAAAGAGGCTGTTTTCCAAATTCGAACTAACGAACTTTCAATCATAAAGAAACAGTTTTACCACGGCTCCAAGCTCGCCCATAAGACATCCATAAAAATACGACAAAAAAATTGCAGTATTATACCAATGTTAACTTTAATGATACACACATAATGTCAGTGCTAATCACTATTTACACCAACATCTGACATGAAACATTCATTTCTTTCTAAAGAACATTCAGTAATTCACTACGAATGAAAGATTGCATTCAGCATGCACAGAATATTACCAGCATTTTATTTGCTGGAACACTGTCCTTCCCGAAGGAATTTGAGTTGGCACTAGAATTGCTTTGATCTGAAGGAAGCCCATTCAATGTTGCATTGTCAAGACTTGAAGTGCAGCTCTCCAACACCCGAACGACACAACCCACCAGTAGACCAAGAAAAGGTCGAACATGCAATTCATCAAAAACTCCAACAATGTCTTCAATGACATGCAAAAAACCATACTTCTTTTTCCAGGACAGGGTTTCTATATTGTCCAAAGTAAAATATTCTAACAAAGATGATGTTTGAAATTCACTAATGGAACCGTTAGGTAAAGTCCAAAACAAGTTAGCAGGCCCATCAATTTTCTTCACTATTTGCAATGGCTTTATCAGTAATGCAAAGAAAAGTGGCAGCTCAACGACATCAAGTCCAGCTATGAAACTCAGAACAGCTTTCCGATGACAAATACTTGCTTTCTGACAAAAATGAGAATGAGATACAAATGATCAGTCTAGAAAGTAAAAGGCAAATGAAAAACATATGACAGACAAAAAATAGTATGAGAAAAATATAAAACAACGTCAAAGCTCACACTCTGCATACCTTTCGAGACGCAAGTCCTTTCAGCTTTCTTACTTTTGGCATCAAAAGACGGATTGCAGATGGCACAAGATAAGGTCGGTGACATTCTTCAATGATTCCAGATTCTCTGGATAAACTCCATGTTGTTAGTTCCTCCCGTAAATTTTTGGAACTGATCAAATTTCTCAGATGTTCAGTATAAGGTATTAAGTAATCATCTTTCCAGATTAACAGGCAATCCAGAACTCTCATCTGTATTTCAGGATCAATTTCTTCTAGAAGCCTGCCCAAAACACCGGGGAAAAAAGGGAGGGGGAAAGAAAAAAAGTATGTTTAAAATAGGAGATCACCAATATAAGTTCACCTAAGTAACTGGTGAATAAATAACATTGCAGTGATGTGCAAGATATAAAATCAAATTGCACTGTAACCTATTCTGCAAAACCTCCTTGAGAAATTGACTGCGGTAAAAAGACTTGGGATTTTTCATCAGCTTCAACAAGTTTAACCATTCTTTCAAAATAGCCTTCCACTCTTTCCCTTTACAAGCATGAGAATCAAACAATCCCACACTGCAGTTTCATTTTATCAAACAGGGCAATTTAGGTAAAACTTCAAAAGTTCACAAAGTTCAAATCCACATTTCAAGATAGGGACAAAATCCAGAAGATATTTACCTCACAAGATCATGAGTGTTGTATCCTAAAAATTGTAAGAATAGAGGAACGAATTCCCGAGAGCGAGGTTCGATAACATTTGGAATTTTTTGTAAAGCTTGCAGCAATAGTGCTGATATTGTGACAGATGGCATGCTATCAGATGTATGATGGACAAACTGTTTGAAAGAATCAAGTAGACCTGAGAAAAAAAATGAACTTGATTACCATACCTGCAGGATAGCAAGTCAAGCTTAAAGGAAAATTCTTTCCTTACATAATACCTCCTAAAATAGTAAAAAAAAAAAAAAAAAAAAAAAAAAAAAAAAAAAAAAATCTTTGATATTGTGAAATTTATAGATTAGGAATGTAAACTTTTTTAAAGAAAAAAATTTACAAAATTTAAAAACATGTATATAAATATTTTATCAGGGTTATTACCAACTAATCTAAATATAAATTTATTAAACTAATTATATTTTCCCAAAATATATTATACTCAAACTAGTTTGGGATAAAAGTATTGTTGATGTCAATATTACAGTCAAGTCAAATACATCAACCAATTATCAATAAAATAGTGTCGGTGCCTCTAACCTATGACATCCTATATACACAGAAAAGGGGGGGAACATAATATATGATGTGAATAAAGTTGAAGCATACCAGTCCGCTGATCAGGCAATGCACCATTGTCACTACCATGCAAGTTGCAAGAGGTCCCCAATATTGCCTGATACAGGCTATCCAGATAATTGATAAGGCTATCCCATACAAGTAAAAAATGTAAGCTAACCAAGACAGCAATACATTCTAATACAGGACTCCAGAGGTAGCTAAATCGATTATTCAAGATGCCAAACAATCCATTCAAAACAAGAGGCACATAAACATTAGGAATCCTTCCAGCAGACAGGTCCATCTGTATCTTAGAAATCAATCTCTGAATGCTTCTGCTTGTAGAAATCGAAATTGGAGTTGTTTCAATAGAGAGGAGCAACAGCAGAGCCTATCATTGCGCCAAAATACAGAGTTATATTAAAGCTTAAATTAAAAAAGAAAATATATATATATATATAATGGCCCAGAACATAAAATATCCATACATTATTTCCCGTGCAGTCCACATTGGAAGTTGGAGAAACTTCAGTTTTCCTTTTCTTCTCAGCTGGTTGATCCACTAAAGAATTTTCCTCATCACAAAGTTTATAGTGAGAGAGTATTTTAAGAGTTGAAATGCGAGTCTCCTTGTTTGAATGGCGCAAATTATCAGCAAATTTAGCCACAGCACCTGCAGTCCTTTCTTCAAGTTCTGGATGATATATTCTACCCCCGGTGTCTTCTAAAGAAGAACTATAATACACAAGTGAGAGGGTTATGCAAGTAGAGAGCTCTAACCATTACTAAAATAATTGAAAAAATTAGACTACTCAATAATGTAAAACAAGAAGAAAAGTCACACAGTAAATTTTAACGCATTCCACTTACCCATACTTGCTTTCCAAATAATCAGCAACAGCCAACAAAACTTGTGAAGATGAATTATATCGTTTTGCAAGACTTAAAAACCTTCCAGTTTCATCAGTTCCACGGTTACTGTCACTACACAGTCTGTTATAAGAACATAGTGCAACACCTATAATACTTTCCCAGGCTTTTTTAGAACTATCTGCAATGTAACCTGCAGATAAAAAAGAGAAAGAAACAAAAGAATATAAGAAATTATACCTCATGTTTTTATTGCCTACAGAGTTCAACGGAAAAATATTTGCAAATTAAAGCATCAATGAATATGGCAATACAAGGATAAGCCCAAAACCAGATTTTTTTTTCCTTAGTACGGCCCAACTCAATTCAATATTACGATAGCAAACCCAAAACCAGCTTCAGAATAACCTAGACTCACGGTTCTATGAGGTTGCTCTTCAAAAAAATCATATTTGGAACAAAAAAAGAATAAAGGAATACCAGCTTTAACAGTCAGAAGCTTATCTACAGCATCCAAGAGATCTACCAACAAGGATGGATTGGCCTCGACAATAGACATATGAGAATAGCAGCTCACAACTCCCCACAGCAGTGCCAACTTTCCTTCATCAATTTGACATGAAACTTCAGAATGTGCAATATCGTTTATTGTTCCAATCCAATAACAGATAGTCCTTTGCAAATGATTGCATATCCTAGCTAGTGCTTCTGCACTTGTTCCGTCAACAAAGTCCGGGTTTTGAATATCCGATTGCATTTTCTCACAGAAGGATTGTAACAAATGTATGACCTCTTCCACTGAAATCTCCATTAAATCATTTATTGCACTAAAAATGATGTCATAAAAGTCAAATATTATATTCAGAAAGTACGAAACCATAACCGTTTCATGCACGCACACACACCCCTTTTGGAGATTACCTTATAACATTACTTCGGAAAGCAAGTAAACAAAGTTCCTTCTGCAGCAGTTCTCTAACAAAACACAGCAAACTGGAACCCAAGCTCAAACATGTCAAGAAGGTATAGAAACAAGCTAAAGAGAATGCCAATACTGCAAATGCACTGTAGCAGTCATTACCTTGAGTTTCGTGACTTAAAAATTGGACCCCACTGGACAGCACATACCGATATCATTGACTTACTGTAACTACAGAGCCCATCAAGAATGGCCAACATTAATTTCAAAATTTTATCAACAACTATATATACATCTTCTTCTGACTCAACAACTCCAGAAGGTGTGATAAATGTCCGCACAAGCAGCATGACAAGTTCAAGCATGGGCTTATAATCTGCCAAATGTAAGTGCAGTTAAAATTTGTGCAAAAACACATGGATAACTCAGGCAACTTTCTGAAGAATAGAAAATGTATCGCATCCTAATATCCAACATAATACATTAAACTTGGGGGAAAAATTACTATTAATACAGTAAACTCTGACAAAAATAAAAGCATAAGAGAATATTGAACCACCTGAACTCAACCCATTCACTCACTCTTTTCTATCACCCATTAATATAAGTATTCAATAAGTGATGAAGGTAATCCAAAAAGTACCAAACAAAAGTCATATATATTAAGAATATATCAGGAAAACCAGGAGTACAAATTTTAAAAATAAAACACAAGGGGTTGGACACAGTGGCAAGCAAACTACAATCTCAAGGGACGAGGTTTGTCAAGAACCACTTCAATCCAAAATCTTAAAGTGTTATGTGAAGGCCTTCTTAATGGTTTATATTATTCTCTAACACACTCCCTCACGTAAGCGTCCTTTGGGCTTGAAACATGGATATTGCATAGGCCCAATTTATTTATTTTTTGGTTTTTACCTTATGCTTATTTAATTTCACTAGTGGAAGCAGTGAGAAACAAACTTGTGACCTTATGGCCACTGAAGCTTCGATACCATGTAAAGAACCACTTCAACCCAAAACCTTAAGGTATTGTGTAAAGGCCTTTTTAATGGTTTATGTTATTCTCTAACAAGGTTGGAGTCAAGAAAAGCCAATGGTGGGGGGAAACCATATCAATCCATGCCCAAAGGGATTAGTCTCACATCCCAAGAATGTGGGGATACACAGAGAAACCCAAAATTTAAAGAATAAAAAGGAAAGAAAATGTTGAAGTAGATTCATGAAAGAAACTTTAAATTCAATCTATTCATTCAATATAGGTTTGTGATTAACTTCTTATAAAAGTATAAAACAACCACATTTAGTGTCCTTATCAACTGCCTCAATTTAGCTGAACTGACCCAAAGGAAAAACTCAGTAGTATAGAAAAGATTATAACTTACCAGACACCTTTTGCCCGTTTTGCACCTTTACAGATGCAACAAGCATTGATAAAATGTGTCTTAAATGCCTGATGTTCCCAGCAGTAATACATTCACTTACTTCCTTATATAAGCAACTCCATACCAAATTCAACTCATTGGCCTCCATCTTCTCGCATAATTTCTTAAAGACAGATTTTATAATTTTCAAAATGATCCTTGACTCTGAAATAAAGGCAGATAGAGATAAGAAACAAGGTAATCCAATACATTACAAATCCATCACAAAATTAATTATATTTTACAGACAGCCACATCAGGCAACAGACGACAGGCAAGGAAACATCAGAAGCCCAAGTGAGAATATGATCTGTCACAAGAATCCTAATCGTTTTAATAAAATATTAAGGTATATCCTACAGGGGATATATAATGAGAAAAAGAAAAAGAACAGAGCCTGCAGCAGGATAGAGCATCAAAATGGTGTGCCTTCCTGATGCTTATTCCTGGTTTTACTGCCATCCATCTAATGTTATTAATAAGCCTTCAGAACGTTCACTACATTCCATGCATAACCAAAATACCTATTTTATAAAAGCAAATCTCATATATCACCAACTTCAGATTTGTGTACACACAACCATATAATTCATAAAAACTACATTTGAGGGAGGTCTGTTAGAAGGATCAAAACAAACTCCAAATTTGAGGTTGCCTAAAGAGATGAGTCTTCTCAGTTTTCATTCCTGAAGTTGATGGCTGACTGAGCTTTCAACTATGTTATATACTGCTTATTGTTGACTTGGGCCCCAGATTTTTACCACCACTATCCTATTCAAGTGATGCACTGAATAATCTCAATATCAAGGAAGAGTTTATATTAAAAAAAAAAAAAAAAAACTTAACCAACAGATGTGAGATCGTGAGATGTGTATAGTATTCGAACAACTTTAGTTTTCTTAGTCTAAATATAACAACCCATACTAGTTCAATTTAATAAGGTAATTAGGAGGTTAAGATAGGCAAAAAATTTATATTTGATAAGTACTAAAATTTTGATAAGATAAAGCCCTAAAAGTTAATTAGATAAGTACTACATCCCACTTAGATCATGACTCTTATAAAATTACAAATGTGGGCTTCAAGTCATTAATTGATGAAGAGAGAAGGGAAGGGCAAACTTGTCTTTTCATAGAATGAGTATTTTAAAAGAAAAAGGAAAAAAAAAAAAAAGATAAAGGGAAAATATAATGAAGAGAACAAGCTTGCCTTGGCCAGCTTTATCACCAATGGGATAAATAGCTTCACTTGTCAATAATTGTAACACTCGCTCTGCTTTTGAATGGAACCTCGACGAGTAACCTTTCATAATATTATAAAGCAACGCATCAACACCTGATTCTCTGTAAGTAGACGGCTTCTTCACAGCATCAGCAATGACTCTTCTAATTCCTGTCACATCAAAAAATAATAAAAAGTTTTGTAACCACCCAAATAAATCAATAAAAATACCGTTACAGAGACAGAGATTAATATTAGATCAGGAAGCAAATTATTCTAGAAGTCCTCGAGCATTAGGGAAATTGATTAAAAATGTAAAAGACGAGACGGAAAAGAGGGAAAACATATAGCCAGAATGAAAACAAAACAATGACATCAATACCTCTTTTGAGCTGCTCATCTGGTGCATTTCTCAGAACAAAAGACATCGCCTCAGCCATGAATTGTTGGACATATTCCTTTGGATAATACCTCAATTTTGACGTGACCCTTTAAGTATCAAAGTCATGAAAAACAACTCTGAAGTTAGAAAATTTATATTTGAGTAGGATGTGTATGTACTATGTAGGTACTAAGCATTTTCAACTCATCCCATGTTGTTGGCTAAAATAAACAATATGACCAGTTGTGACATGAACCTAACTCACTTGGTTGGGACATTTGTTTGCAAGTTCCTGTTAGGGGCTTCAACAACCTCCTACGTAAATCCTTTCCCATCCCATTCCCCCCTCCCCGCCACCCTAGTAGGAACCCCTTAGGCTCCACTCTAGTGGTGGGCCCTCTCCTAGGCCCTAACAATGTTACCCAGACTATTAATAAAAAAATACAATCAGTTGCAGTTTGTTCACTGGAAATTATAAAGCTTCCACTGTTCCACATACAGGTTGCCGTGATAATGGAACTATTATCCTTCAAGATTTTGGTAACATGGCTGTCTTTCCCAGTTAAACACACTTCGAAACAATAGGCATGAAATTTAAGAATAATTTGAGTCTCTTAAAGCTATATGAACCTAAAAAACAAAGGAAAACCACAACCAAAACCAGTCATTACCTAAGTCTGCTGTTTTAGGGCACGAGAAGCTATTGTCTACAACAGAGTGTACCAACTACGTTAGAGAATAATATAAACCATTAAAAAGGATCTCACCCAACGCCTTAAGGTTTTGGGTTGAAGCGGGTCTTTATATGGCATCAAAACTTCAGTAACCACGATGTTACGAGTTCGATCCTCATCGTGCCCGCACTTTCTAATGGAATTAAATAAGCACAAGGTAAACCAAAAATTAAGCATGTGCAATATCCACGATTCAAGCCCAAGGGCTCTTGCATGAGGGGGTGGTTAGAGAATAATATAAACCGTTAAAAAGACTCTCACCCAACCTTAAGGTTTTGGTATTGGGTTGAAGTGATTCTTTACAAACTAAGACTTAATGTGAGTTGTAAGGCAGTTTAGCTCCTTTCTTGAAGCTGTCTCTTCTATCTTCTCCAGCCAAAACACACTGTTAGGCCAGAATCAGTATTTTCAATTTCTTTTAGACACTTACTAATATTATGATTCAAGTTTCCAGTCCTATATTTTCTTTGTAGACCAGCATTATTTCACAATACCGATCCCATCTATATTTTTTTAATTCTGTTTTTCATTCAATTTTCTGAATTTGTTACCATTTGATGGCTGTGTACGCTGTAGGACTAACCTACAGGCCATGTCATGTTTGCACCATGTCTCTTTGGACTGCATTATGGTTTTACTACTTTGCTATGACAAAAAACTTATATTTAAGTCTTCCTTTAGTTTTATGTAAATTACGGTTTCTAAGTTTTCCGCCTCATTACTACACTGCTCGTTTATAGAAGTATGAATTTTAATACAACAAAAAAATCATAAATGTCCAATCAAGAAAAGGGAAGATTACTCTCAGTTAATTCACCCAACAAATGAGATAAACATAGTGTAAGTGGTCAGTCCTTGTCCATATCTGAGCGGATGCAAATTGAACCTAGTGATCTAACAAAATGGTGCAGTTAAAAGCATACATATCCGGGATAATTTCAGGGTGTGCAGAATAGTTAATTTCATATGGAAAGGTCAAAACAGAAACTATTTAAACCAAACTCCATCACTCACTTGAGCACCTCTGCAGGGTTGTGTATTAGATATTTCTGCAGATACATCATAATATACGACCAAGACGTGAATATCTACATAAATACAAACATATTTTCAGAATACACAGAGTGAAGGAAAATACCAAATGATAAATGGACAACAATATCTCCCTATAAGAACATCGCCCAGATGATAGCTAATACCTGCTCAATGATATCTGGCTCCCTATCACCACCAGTTTCTAGAAGAGATACTAAAGAGTCAACAATTCTTGGCAATAGCCTAGCAAAACCCAAATGCATAATAAATAAGGAACCCATGTGAGCATTCTCATTAATATATACATGTGTGTGTGTGTGTCTGTCTATTAAAGAAACGATTGCCTATAAGGAAACCATCAAATTAAGCTAGGCCAAAATTTAACAATTGAAATTTAGGGAAATCCTAAAGAGAACACATCTAGTAAAAGTGATAACCAACTTACGGAACAAATTCCTCCAGGATATCTCGAGATAAGGCTGCAATTAACCTGTAAAAACAAACCTTTGAAATTTACTTGCAACAGTTGCAAACTAATAGAACACCAAAATAAACACTGAAAGAATGAAAAAGAGAAACGACTAGCCTTCAATTAACCAGTCCAAGGCTACTTGGTTGTTACTAATCAATAAAATCACTAAATCTGAATACAAAATAAATATTTACTCAAGTGTCAAGATGTCCTAATAAAAGCAGAATACTTATATGGCAAGATACCGATATTGTTACTAATGGAATTCAACAGATTTTTGCAACTGCACTCAAACACTCAAAAAGAACCCCAAATCAATCAATCTTTACATAAAGCTCGAAACAATAATTGGTCCTGATAGAAAAGTCAATAATGCATCAAAATTGTTGTTATCACCAAGGAGGCAAAATACTTATTCCATTTACATTAATACTACCATGTTCAAGTTTTTTAAAAGTTAAAACATAGTAATATGATTTATTGCTAACATTTCATCATGTAACACACTAACATCTCTAAACAAGCAAAACGAAGCAATCCTTAAAAAGGATAGCATACCTAAGAATCGGTTCAAGGGATAGCCTTGATTTTATCTGCAACCTAGAAAGAAGTTTTGAGATTAAAGATTCCTTGTGCAACAGCACCAGGGGCAATGTTTGTGTATAAGGCATAATTTCTTCATACAATGAGATGAAATCCTCTGCAGTGTTCAATTCCTGTATTTTGGCAATTAAAGCAAATAATTAATACCAAGCATGATGAAGACGAGGTAGAAGACAATGTTAATATATAAAGATGCAAATTTCTTCTTTAAGGCACAGGGAGTGGTACACATCTTTTATCCTACAAGAATCAATTCAAAGTTAATATAAAATTGTTTCTCACAAGAGCAGCAACATTGTCCATTGCTAAAAGAAATTGGCTAACATAATATCAAGACAAGGTAGTCTCCTACGAATCCACAATTATAGCATGCAACTAATAATAAACACAGAAACATTTCATTCATAAAGCAACAAAAGAGCAATTGTATATTAAGGCATACCCTCCATTCTATAAGGCAGTCTCTGAAAAAAGAGGAACCCTCAGATGGCTCAGCTTTGACCTTCTCAAGACTTCGATACACATTGATATCAATCTCATCTACTCTCTCAGAGAATGACTTAAACTGTACATTCAATTCCAAAAAAAAAAAAAAAGGCAAGCAATTAATACAAAAGAGCATGTGAGAGAACAAATTTTCCACGAGAACTGATACCTACATAATAATGTTTTTTTTATAAAAAAAAAAAAATTGAACAGATAAAAGAACATAGTGATACACAGCTTTTATCAATTCGAAAAGAAAATAAGATAGTTGCTAACTAACGCAGGGTTTAGGGTTTTAGCCGTGCCGCCACCGAGAATGAATCAAAGAAAAAAATGTGGAAAAAAAAGAAAACAATGTTGTTGCATGTGCTGAGGCATTCAGCATGTGGAATAAGTTAATTTAGATGATAATAATTGCAAGAGATTTGATTTGTGATTGTGCGAGAAAGAGTAAAGCTTACGACAAAGCGGCGGCGGCCAGGGGATTTGTTGAGAGACTTGACAGCTTGAGCATGTGACGGCGTCGCCATGTTCGAAGAAGAAGAAAGGTTGCAGCTGCAGTTGCAGTTGCAGTTGCAGCAGAAAGAGGAATCGGAGTAAAATAGGGGTTTTAGTTTTCTTCAACGAGAATGGAGGGAACAAAACCTACTCAGCCATCGTCGGTTCATGTTATTGGCATTTCAGTCCATTGGGCCACCCAATACCCAATTGCTAAACCGAGCCCATATGAATAAGTTTCATACGGTTTTACAAAGGCCCAATTGAAATATAAATAATTTTAGGGGAGAACTTCATTTTATGAGTTTAGTGTTTGTCATTTTAAAAGAGAGATAGACACAAAAAAATAGAAATCATTAGAGAGAGAAAGTGGATGGTTTTTTTAATTTAAAATTTAAATAAATTTTTTTTTCTGTATCTGTCTCTCTTTTAAAAGGACAGAGTGTTATGTCATTTAAAATGACAAACACTTTTCCCTCATTTTATCCCCCTGTGCTTAAAATAACTCCTAGTTCTAAAGGGGAAGGTTATATTTATAACCTGTTTTCATTTACAACTTCTTATAATCATATCTTAACTGTTAATTTCCGTCAATCAACGGTTAAGATTTTGACAAATCAAATTTATTAATTAATTATTAATTCACAATAAATGATAACCGTTGATTGACGAAAATCAACGATTAAGATATGATTGTAAAAGTTTGTAAACTATTTGGATCGTAAATATAACCCCTCCCATTTTAAAACTTATCACTTTTCTCCTTATAAATTCAAACTATCATGGCCACGAGAATGTATCGTTTTCGTCTTATACATATACATTTTTTTTTCTTAACTTTTATCCAATATTATTAAGATGATATCGATTGAAATTATGATACACACAAATATTAAAATCTATATAGAATTATGTAATTAATATTATTGTAAAATATTATTTATTTATTAAATTTTTAAAAAAATTAAAAATAGTATTTAAGACAAATTAAAAATTTATTATCTTAAAACATATTTAAAATAAATTCAAATAATTTTTATTTTTGAAGTAAGGAAAAATCTTTTGATTATTTAAATAAAGAGAAATAAGGAAAACTAATATTGTAAATTATTTAGTTTAAATATATTTTTAAGATAATATGTTCTTAGTTATTTTAAAAGATAAATTCAAACTTGATAAAGTTTTTAAATAAATAATTTATTTTGAAAGATACTTTTTCAAATAATTTCTAATAATTATAGATAATTTTTAATTAAATTATTTATGTTTAGATATATTATAATTTTAATTCATAATATTCGTATAATATAGAATACAATCGGAAAAAATAAAAAATTCTAGCTGAATATGACTACAAGGATTTAAAATTATTTGTTTTCTCTAACTTATAATCTTTATTATTATAATATTATCAGTTAAAATTTGAAAACAATTCAGTATTAGAAATTAAATAAAAATCATATAAAATTATTTGATTAAAAGTCATCTTAATTATCTATTTAAAATTATCTTAAAGATTGAATATAGTATTTAAAAAATTAAAATGTTACCCAAAAATATTAAAAATGTATCAATTTAAGCCAAATAATTTAAAATAAATTTTATAAAATTCCCTAATTATTTATTTTTTAAAAAAAAATTAAGTTAAATATATCCTTATTTTTCATAAATTCTATATTATAAAATTAAAATATTATAAATTAAAATAAATTTAAAAGAAAAATTATTTAAATTTAGCTTAAATATTTTTAAGATAATAAATTTTTAACTTGTATTAAATAAATTCTTATTTTAAAATATTTTAAAAAAAATAATTATTTTTTTCTTATACTTTTTAAATACATACCTTTAGATAGTTTTTTATTTAGTTTTTTATACTTAATTATATTACAATTTTAATTGATAATATCATAATAGTATAGGATAAAAATTAAAATATATATATATATATATATATATATAATAAAAGACAATAGTTATAAATGATGGTTTGAAATCACAAGAACTAAGTGATATAATTCAATAACCACATGGATGAAAATAAAATAAGCTGTTATATCATTAAAGAAACTTGTGATCTAACTGAAATTCTGCTTCTAATCACCCTTGCTAACACCTCCTGATTGGCACTATTTCACGCAAATAACAATTATTTATTTAATAATTACATTCTTATTATTTTGACTATGGAAATTGTGCTACCACTTGTGCCATGCATGCAACTTGTGGCATTATAATCATCCTTGTAAAACCTTTTTTCTATATTTTTGGAAATCCCTACAAACAAGGCAGAGTAAAGTTTTGAGGCAGCATAGTTTATCGAAAAGTTTGGATCATGTCAACTTGCAAACTTTTCAGTCATGTAAGTTAACTTGCTATGACCATGCTATTCTCAGTTCTGCTTTTTATGTTAGCACATGAGACAGTCTGGAATAATATCACACATTCTGATTGAGAGGAACTGTCGATTCAGGAACTGGATCTTGGTTAACTTCACTATCAGATGGTTGGGATTCATGTTTAGCAGCAGCCTGCAACACCCTGCTCTGAACATCTAACGATGAAGGTGACGTAGGTAGCCCTATGCGATTTGATTCCAATTTACCAGCAGCCCATGAAAATGCTTGAGCTCCAAGTTTAACAGGAGCAAGCAACAACCTTGGAAAGAGAAATGAAGACAATGAGGTCAAATTTCATAATAAAAATGCCAAGAAAGGATACAGAAACTGACATATTTTTTAGTTGCTATTTGCTAATTGAAATCATATCTTTCTACACGGGAAGATTGATTATTTATTTAGATTTTTAGTTTCCTATTTTCTGGAAGAAAATCACATTGCTGAAACTCTTCTCCCATAATTTTTTTACACCTTCTGCGCAGGCATATAGCAGTTTAGAAGCAAGTTGAACAAGCGTATACCTGTCCTAGTCACAACTCTTAATATGTATTATTCATACTTAATGCACATAAAGTCACTTTTGATATCTTATTTATCAGTGTACGAAACCTATAGACCTATAACTTTAAGGTTTTGGGTTGAGATATGGTATTAGCCCACTTATTGTGGTTTATCGTATGGCCCATTGGTGGATGTATAAGATTTTGGACTCCCCCGTACCGCTTTAAGAGTGGTATCAGAGCCAAAGGTTTGGATGGGGCCAAGTATATGGAGATGGTGATGCTTTTGAAGAGGCCTACACAGAAGGCTAGTATAATCCTAATATTTGAAGAGAAAAGACTTTTGCAAAAGTTGCCCTTGGGGAGAGCATGATGTTGGGCCTCACACTTGAGGGGAGAATGTTAGAAATATTCAAGTGTAAATAGTGGTAAAGTCTCACATAAGTTAAAAATGAACAAAGCAATAACCATATCAGTGCAAAAGACCCATGGACCTACGACCTTAAGGTTTTGGATTAAAATGTGATCTCAGACTCTCAGCCCACTTATTGTGGTTTATCATTTGGATCATTGGTGGACGTATAAGGTTTTGGGTTCCCCTGTACCATTTTAACAGATCTTCCATGACTTGAATATTAAGAAAACTTATCAACATATATGACATGGTTATAAGATAATAATTAAATTACTATAATTTCATGATTATATGACCAAACATGCATCACGAAGTATACTTACCTCACATCTTGATTCAGGTCTTCTGAGTCTTCATATGAAGAAACCCGGAGATAGATGGTCTGGTGAATATATAGTGGACGACTTATGAGGAAATGGAAAAACTATAATGTTACTGACCAAGAGACTATAAAACATGGCAGAATACGACAATTTCCCAAAACACGAACCATGGGATTCCCAACATAAGTGGATATATGAACTATATTCTGTTCAAAAGAAAAAAAATTAATATAAGCACTTGCTGAAAGGAAAATACACATACCAAACTAAGGCCAAATGCACCAATTAACTGTAATGTCTTCTCCCACTCTGAGACAATATTGATTGTGCTTGGTCAGATCAGGGCAAAGAAAAAAGCCTCATCCACTCCAGGATGGGGAACAGTAAAGTGATGGGAGCCATTAGGTTTCCATTAAATATAAAAAAAAAAAAACACCTAGATATTGAGTCACTCATGCGTGATGTTTAAAGGAATTGGAGCTTCAGTTTAAGCTACTGAATCAAAATGAATTTGCATATGTAGATAAATATGCAAAGGCACATTTAATTAAAAGGAAAAAATCTCCTACTACCTCAGACAAACTGTCATAGAATTCAGATGTAATTCAAAAATACAAGTTTTTAATTCTGAAAAGATTGATAGCTTATGAAAGAAAATGTACTCACCTGATAATGCATACAAACCTGCAATAAGTACCTGAATCAAAAATAGTTGCATTCATTACCAGATAATAAAATTTAATATAATCACGTAATCATTTCCAAATCAAATCAAAATGTGAAAAAAGATGCCTTCATGGCATCAAGGAAACAGACAAAATATTTACTTGAGATTATTGTTGATGACTTAGGAATACCGGTTACATATATATTCAAGCAGCAATGAGTGAATTCTAAAACTGATAGAACAACAGAATAAATGAAATAACTAGAGACTGCTATTAAAACCATTTTTTTTTTCTTTAGTTTTCTCGACATAAGTTTCTCCACTAAAAATTGATTTCTACAGTATGGTTGCATTATGCATATCATGTTATGAAACGACATGTGCCTTCTAAAATTGACTTAACAGTTAACATACAGAGAATCCAACCAAAATGACAATTAATTAAGTTGGAAAAATCACCAAGATGCCACACAGGTAACTTGACACTTACCGTACCATAACCTAAAAGTTGCAAAGGAGAAGGACTAACATCCTCCAGAATTGCTTCAGCTTCCTGTAAAGTAACAAAATGCATATGCATTGATGAAAACCCGATATATATAATCAAACTAAAGTTTCTCTTCTAATCGTTTTACATGCCTTCAAAATAAAGGCATAAACATAGAGACTCACAGAGAGGAAGAATTATGAGAGTAATAGAGAGAAGGCTGGTAGAAATCTTAATTATTCAAGGCATTGTCAGAGGTAAGAAATTGATTAGAATTTTATCGTTTCAGTTCTTTTGCCTAAAAAGAAGATAGATGCCATTTAGACAGAAACCATATTCTTGATAAACTTGTAAAAGAAATGCCAACGGACTACCTTAAATTTTACTAAAATGAAGTGCAAAATCATATATGGCTATAGCTTCAGTGTTTATTTTCAAATACCACGACATGCAATAAAATTAGAAGACTATCAACTAAAGGTAGCCAGCCAAATGCTTACTATAGCAAGTAACTTAGCGTTTTCAGGCTTTTAACCAAATGTTTAGTTTACAACAAGGAGCTGAAAGCTGTAGTTCAAGCACTTGAGTAGTAGCACCATTACCTAACTTTTAGAGTTTTCGTCCCATTGTTTTTTGTTATATAATTTAACTAAATTCATGTTGGTAAAAGATACAGATGAAGAGCAATAGTTTGACAAATACCTCATTGAGTATGGAAAGTGCTGTCTCAGGTTTGAGTTCCTTGATGCGGAGACCTTGTTTCATCCAAGACTGAAAGCCACCTTGAACCAAGTATGGATTCTGTAATATATGAATTGGATTTCAAATCCATGGGTTGTTAAATTTATGATACTCCAATATATAGATTTGATTTCAAAAGTTGTTCTAAAGAACTAATTTAACTCAAAAGCTTAAATTGTTGAGTGAGGCTACATTAATGGTTTTATATAACTTTAACACACCCTCTCACACGAGAGCCCATTAAAGGTGAACAATGCATAGGCTCACCTACCTGTGCTAAGAAACTCTACAATACTGAATTAATTATTAATTAAATGGGGGCGGTGAAGATCGAATCCGTGACATGAGGCTCTGATACCATATAAAGAACCAATTAAACCTAAAAGCTTAAGTTGTTGGATGAGGCTACATTATTAATTTTATATAACTCTAACAGCTGTCATTAACTGGACTGTACAGAGGGTGTCCAATAGTCAACCAGGGCAATACAAACCACCATTAAACCACAGACACTGGAATTAAAACAGAGTTGTCTGTCAAACGCATATCTGACAGTTGGCATTCATGTTGACACTGAAGGACCAAGTGTTAGTTTGAACATATATGAGTTAGGGCATCTAGAACTCAATCAAATTATAGTTTTTTTTTTTTTTTCATTCAGAATTTCAAACAATCAATGCTTTTGTCCAGTGACGGAGAATCTTGAACTCCAGCTCATAAATTATCATATTTTAACTTCGCAGCATGAGTTCAATCCATTTTCACTCAGAACTGAGGTGAACATGTGCAACATATATTTGATATTAATGATACAGATACTGCTAAGGAGGAAATCAACCAGACACTAACAGAGACTTGAATTATGTAGAATAGTAGGTACATTTGCTGGAATTTTTCTCTATTATTTTCTTACTTTTTCCCATGCCAGAGCTCTTCAACCCTAACCTTTAAATATAAATTCCAATTTCAATGATCCCTATATCAGATGTGGAAGCAGCTCAAACTATTCTGTGTTATCTAGATCTCAAATCTCATAATACAAAGCTAAACTTTCATCCAAGAATTCTCTGTTATATATCGCATTAAAGTTTTGCAGCAAATATCTCAGCAGATATTAACAGACTTGCCTTGATGCCAATTTTCCTCAAGGATCTTGCAATGCCTTTAGAACGAGTACCATCAGCATCCAACACTATAACCCTGGAACTGTCCTATAGGCCAGGGAAAATAAGATTCTGAGACATCATTTCTCATGCCAAACCTTCTAATCACATATAAAAAGTATTGATACACAAACTTCGAGTCATTGAATATAAATTACCATCTCTTACCATTTAATGTCCTTGAAAAATATAAATTGATGAAACTGCCAAAAGACTATGCTTATTTTATAAATACCATATAACTTTAGCATTTAGTCATTGATATCTTTCTTGAGGTTCATTAGTTTCATGTCATAATATTGAAATAGAAGAAGGGGGGGGGGGGGAATTGAAGGGTACATATAAATTACTGTTTAGCAAAGAGTTTCTGGGTTATCCCACACACTTTCAAGTAACTTTATTCAGAACACTAGACCCTGTTTCGAGATACCAAGCTAAATACCTTAACAATCTTCAAATTTCGAATGATAACAGCGATCAAGGAGTCATCGAGGTCTCTACCACTCTGCAACAACTTGCGCATTGAGCCATCAACCTGGAAATTGCATAATATGTTATTTTGGTAGTAGACAGATTACAGATTAATTGTTAATCCACCTAACAAGCGACCAAGATTCTGGACTTGTTCCATTTAACAAAGTTAAGGTCATACCACAATTATCCCAGTCACATTAAACATTATCATATTTTCAACCAACCTCAAGTGGAGTTATACATGCATATCGAAACCGAGCAGACCGTCGAAGATCAGGAATACCATCTTTTTCTCGTAAATCCTGCAGAAAGGAAAGGAGCAGCAACTTCATTGGTCAATTTTGATGTCAAAATAGTTAGCCAAGCAGAAAAAAAAAAATAGAAAATTTTCCTTAATTAGGAGACCATAGTTTGAGTTTGGAAGAAGTGTTGAAGCAAAGAGAGAATGGACACTGAAACACAAGGATAGCTTGACTTTACTTTCATAAATTACATAGTTATTTCTCTAGCTTTGAATAAAAAAGCCAGAAAAATTAACCATAACTTGCCTCAGTGCGAACATCTATAAGTGCAGCATTTGTGTCCCCAGCTAAAAGCTCCAAAGCTGATTTAGGGGATAGATCTCCTGAGTAACCTCCATATGTCCACAGCCAATAAATAGCCCTGCATATCTCTGACATCTATTACAGATAGCATTTGTGGTGGAAATTTAATTCTCAAATATAGATAACAAAATTTACTTTTGAGGAAAGAGAAACTCATACCAGAACGTAGCTGAAGAGCCCAAAAAAACAACAAACGGAATGATTGGTTCATTTGGGTCCAAGCCAAGACTTTTCTCCAATGAATATACAGACATGTATATCTGCTTAAGAAACATAAATCATCATAATATAACAGGTAAATAGGCTAGAAAACTGGTAACAAATTTAGAATGATTTAGAATGTTTGTGAAATGAAACAGCATTTTAGGAACATGGATTCAGAAGATTTTAACCAAGAATTCGAGCAAAGAATTTCCTAAGCTAGAGCTGATGAGGAACCAGCCATGTAGAAAATGATTTGACTCATAACTCATTTGATAATTCAAATCAAGTTCAAACAAACATTAACCAATATAAAATTTTCTAGGGAAGCAAAGACTAAGAATCAGGTAAGGTTGAGAGTAAAGGATCCTACTGAAACTTTACTAATCTGTAAAATGTTACCTTTTGAGATGCAGACCCTATAGGACTCAAGATTTCTGTTGCTTTATCTTCATATACATTGACTGTATCCCTAATCCCAGCAGGAAGGAGCTCCTTGGCTGACCCATATAGGTAGACAACATATGAAACCCCACTTGCTAGAGAACTCTCTACTGTTATGATTGTGTGGCGCAACACATCAATAGCCGCAGCAGGTGCTTTATTTGTCATTCCACTTAGCTCACTGGAAAAGCTAGTAAATTTCTTATTTGCTAATTCTCCTGTCTGATCAACAGCAGAAAATGCCTTACCGAAAGCATTATCTGCAGATTTAGTAGCATTTTTTACTATAGAATCTATAAAAGAAGTGGCTGTATCCAGTGAGCTTCGTAAAGCATTTTCTCCTTTATTAATTGAGGCATTGAATGACTCATTGACCCCAGCAAAAACGTCACCGACACTTGCTTTTGTACTGGCTAACGATTCATCGTCCACGTTAACTGAACTAGGTACAGGTGCAAATTTCTCTGGTATTATATCAGTACTAGACAGTGTTCCTGGTTGTGCTGGTGCCACTAATGTATTAGATCCTTCAGTTGACTGTTCTGCAAAGTCCACCAATTCCTCTGGCACAATAGATAAATTATAACTTTCTGTGCATCTGAGTTCTCCATTACTCAGTGAATGATACGAATCTGTTGTCACTGGTGAGAGTGAAACAGCCTTTGTAGCTTGTGCTTTAAATGAATTTCTCAGGGAGTGAGTTCCATGTTGCAAACCCAGATGTAAACCTTCTTCTGCCACACATCTGCTCTCAAGATCCTTTCGAGTTGGGTAAAGGGGGTGCAATCCCCCAAACAAGGGAATCTGCAAATTCAAGTAAACAAAAACTAACTGATAGTGATAGATATGCTAAGTTGCTAACACTTGACACCATGAGTTATCAATAAATCCTGGAAAACCCAGATAAATAAATATCTCAGTGATGCACCAATGACCCATTTTTCTCTTTGCTTTAACAATTTTAACCGAAGAATGAATTGGTAGCTATGCTAAACAAAGCAGAAGAACAGAATATTGTTGGAGAAATCAAAAGAAAAAGATAGAAAATAATGACCTGGGAAGAAGATGAGGAATAGCTCGGGGTGGCTGAGCAAACAGGCAACATTCTCATGCTGATGATGACGATGAATGATCACTAAACACGTCAATCAAACATATCAGGTTCTTCTTAAAATCAATACACGCATTTATAAACATACATAATCTTTTTTTTATTTTTTTATTTTACAAAACAAATGAGTGAATAAGAATTCTGAAAATTAAGTGTTGTTATACTTCAAATTCAAAGTTGAGTTCCTTGATTCTCTCACTCTACTCTACTCTACTAGATGGACTGAAATGAAAAAAATAAACACAAATTGCTTGTCAATCTAAAATGCCATTATCAATTTTGAGCTTAAGAATGCCATGCAAAAGGTGAATTAATCTCCGATCGAAATTAACAGACATAATTAATCTAATCTATTTTGATATTATGGAACAAAGCCACCACTCACCTTTGCTTGTGTGCTTGTCTCCCCCTTTTTTTATTATATTGTTTGAATTTGATTGACCTTTTTTTTATTTTTTTTCAAGGAAAAAAAAAATACAAGAAAAAAGAGAAAAACGTTGTTGGGAAATTTTGTGTGGAATGATTTGATAGATTATCCGAATAGAAACGCAGGGTATGGTGGAACACGACTGACTCATCCTACTTGTTTCCGCATTTTGTCTCTTGTGAACCAAACGTCTCTCATCACACATGGACATGGATCACTCATTTTAATTTTTTAAGTCTCTCTCAATTGCCAAATAAATTGATGGGTTTAGCAACCATCAAATTGATGCTTTTATTTTTTTTTTGTTCAAGACTTTATTGTTAAAAAAAAGGTCTTGATCCAAACCAGTTAACTTAATTGTTTGAGCCATAATAGTTAAAATCGGGATTTTATCTAAAATCGGAAGGAGGATAAAAAATCGTAAAACTTAAAATCTTAACCTAAGAAAAATCGTAAAAAATTGTAAAAGCGTTTAGAATTTTGGTACAATCGTTTTGATTGAAAAAAATCGTAAAATCATAAAATCTAAGATTTAAATCAAAATTTTAACTACCATGGTATGAGCATATGAGATCATGTTAATTAAGTTAGTTTTTTTTGTCTTTATTTTTTGGTAAATAAGATGCGAAAATTTTAAAAAATTGTGTTTTGGTTCAGATTAGAGTTGGAATCAATCCCATTAGCGTTTAAAAAAAACAAAAAGTAGTAGAAGAATTGAATTGACACTAGTCGAATTGAAATAGTAAGATTTGCCACCCCATTTGATTAGATTCATGTATATGTATGTGAAACTGAAAATTGGTTGATAAATTAATTAGGACATTCAATTCAACAGTAGAAATTTGAAAGTAACTTTCGAGAAACAAGTCAACCACGATCCCATATTACATGATATGATATCCCATATAATAATAAATCAACTCAGCGTTGCCCATTGATAGCAAGCAAGGACTTGTGCAGAATGATGAAAATTTACATGAAACTGAAGAAGAAATGAATCCGACTACTACTTTTTCCTCCCTCTCTCTATCATACATATTCTTGTAAATAGGAGTTCTATGTTACAAATCAAAATTGTGGTGGAGTTGCAAAGGCCATATCTAGCTTCTCTCACATTCTCATTCTCAATTAGAAAGAGCTAGCTAGCTACCCAGGTCCAAGCTATAGGCAAAAAATAAAAATTTTAAAAAAAAAATTGTTGCACAAGCTCGTGAGTCCCTTCTCCACAACCTGGGGCTACTTTTATGAAGTCTACTCTCTGAATGAATTAATACGATGCGTGAAGTGAGAACTGCACCCACAACCTTGCCTGCAGCAATGCAATCACTTGTGACATATATGTTTTCCCTTCCAATCAGTTCAACATCAAGGCACTCAGTCAGACAGAAGTGCCAATCCAAAACAGCTTATGATCAAGGCAATCTCAGTCACACATGTTTGTTGCTAGAGTGCAAATAACAAAAGAATGCATCACAAAGTTTGGAATCAATTTCTAGACCCAGATGCTGCTGTTCCTCCCAAATATAGGGGGTGAGCTTCCTTGTGCAGATATTTTTTAAGTATCGTGTGCCACTTGAATAATCAATCAGTATGGAATAACATATGGCAGAGCAAAAATATCTGCTGCCTCTATATGTACAGCTTCTGCCCATACCTGCAGTGTATCCCCAACCTCTGAAGATTTCAACACAGGTTTTTTTTCTTCTGTACTGCTGCTGCCAAACAACCACTCTTGGTCATCAAAATCAGACCACTCATCCGCTTTGGGTACCAAATATACCTGACTTAGGTACTTGGTATCTGGATGGGGTGGTTTTGCATATGCCTCAGTTACTGCATCAGCTGGCACAGTCGCGGTGGAAGTCTTGTCTGAGGAAACTGCAGATGGTAGAGCTTCAATGATGCCATTTATCTTGCGTTCCTTGTTATCTGCCTTCACATTTGTGGCTGCTCCTATGCTATGCGAAGCATTCAGAAGGGAAATTTGGCAAGGTTCCAATATCCTTCCATTTTCAGTGCATGGATGAGAGGAAGATGGTCTTGGCAACTTACTGATCCTATTGTCATCGACTGTAAGAAAATTCAAAAAAGAATTATAACTTGTCAGCCAACATTAAAATAATGAGCATACTAAAAGAAAATTGATCATTGTAATTGAAACAAAACCAAGTATTAAAATATCAAAATAATAATGTGACATCATTACAGACCTACATTAACTCATAGTATCTGGTATTAGATTCACAAAATAGTACTCTGAGCCCAAAAAGAGAAACATCCTATTTGTGTCTAACTACAATCTAATGGGATTATTGAGCAGCAATGAGAAACATGAATCATCACATATAACACTCACCATGCATAACTCCATTTGATTCAATGTCCTTCCGTTTCTTGGGATTTTCCTCAACGATAGAATTCCCATGGCTGTGCCTCAAAACCTGTATAAGAGAATTTGAACCTGTTGGACCAACTTTGTTGCTTTCTTTTAATTTATTCTGTTCTCTGTTTTCATGTTCAGTACGCTCCTTTGCTTTCTCCTTCTTTTTCTTTTCTTTATCCTTGTCTTTTTCCTTCCCATGCCCTTTCTTCTCCTTCTCTCTATCTTTCCTTTTATTTCCCCGTTTATCATCTTTTTTATCCTTAACCCTTTCTTTTCCTTCAACTGTTGCTTCCAAAGTCCCGTCAAAATTCTGCTCCAATGGTCTGGGCATTTCACCAACCCTGAGATGAAAATTATTAGCATGATTCTGAACTGTTTCTTTTCCAATATGTTGGGCCTCAGTCCAGATTTCATTACCCTTATCCTGGAGCTTTTCATTACCATCAGGCCAGGTGCCACTACCCTTAGCCGCCAACCTAACAGCCCCCTCATCCTTTCTATGGTCTGCAATTGTAAACTTTTGAACCAATTGATTCCCAACTCCTCCATCATTGTCCCTAATCCTCCTGTCCAACTCCAGGAGGAATTTGGAATCCTTGCTCTCCTCAGCGAGATGATTATTCTCTCTGGCCTTCTCTCCATTGTTCCCAGCATACTGTTTGGTAAGTTTATCATCAAACAAAGCACCCTTCTTATCATTTTGTTTGATTTCCTTTTGATGTTGTTTACCTGCATTAGGACCCTGACCGTGTCCTGGAATCTCAACTGCAGCACTGATTTTACTTTTGTCTTTATCCCTGTCCTTGTCCTTATCTTTCTTTTTTTCTCTGTGTTTTTCTTTTTTGTCCTTCTTTTCCTTATGCTTTCCATCCCTTCCTTCTTTCTCTCTCTTTTCCTTACTTTCCCTCTTCTCTTTGTCCTTCTTCTCTTTTTTATGTTTTTTTTCTCTGCGCTTTTCCTGCAAGTTGTATGGTGAAAATAGATATTAAAAATAATAATCAAATGGGAAAACAAGCAAAATGACTTCACATCCCCACTCCACCCCTAGAGACCATTAAATGGTCATCTATCTACATACAAAATATACAATATCAACATTAACAACACCTTTATCTCAAGATAGATGGGGTCAGTGGCAGATGAATCCAAATAAAAAGTACAGAAGGATTGAGAAAAAAAGATAAAAATAAAATTTGAAAAATATATATAACACTATCCATTAAAAATAGCAATAAGCAATTAAATGGGAAAAAATAAATTAAACAAAGAGATAAAAAAAAAAAACAGAGAGAGAGAGAAAGAAAGATTGCCAAAACACTTCCACACTGCCAACAAATAATAATACACAATTGCCAATTACATGCCTTAAAAAAACATTATTAAGCCCAAAAAAAGTTCCAAATCTGTAAATAGAAAAATATTTTACTTGGAATAAATAAAATCCATAATCACAAATAAGAATCTGATATCCAGTTCACACAGAATGAAAACCAGTTTTATATTTGAGGTGCAATTTCTTACAGCAAAGTAGCACTAATATGCAAGCAAATAGAATCCAACATCTCTTAAAATTAACATAACACATACAATAATCCCTACAAGTAACAGAGCATTACTTCCAACACATAATTACCCCAACTTCTCTATTTTAGGAGCAATTTCTTACAGCAAAGTAGCATTAATATGCATGTACATAAGACTAACCATTTCTTAAATTAACATAGCAATAATAGTCACAAACATAGTTCCTAATAGTGCATATAGCAGTTATAATGACTCCTAGTCCTCACAGCATAGCACACGCATAGTAATTTACCCTCAAGGCCTCACCCATTCAGGTATTAATCAATATCGTTTTTTTCCTTTTGATATTGATCCCTATATTTTCACTCCTTTGGATTTCGATCCTTATTATTAAAATACAAATCCCAATATTTTTCCCTCATTTGGAATTTTAGTCCCTATAGTTTCTACTCATTTAAGCATTGGCCCCTATTGTTTTCGCTTCTTAAGGTATTGAACCATGAGGGATCAAAACCTGAATGAGTAAAATATAGGAATTGATATCCAAAAAAAAATTATAAGGACCAAAACCTAAATGGGTGCAAACACTAGGTACCAAAGTCTTATTTAAATCTCGGTGAAATTTGTGCTAAGATGAAAGTGAATAGATCAAGAAGAGCATATAAACTTTTAATCATCATCTATTCACCAGCAAGACAGAATTCCTCCACTTGATCTTCTTTGGAACTTATATGTTCAGCACTATGGAACGCCACTAAATCTTCTTGGAACTTACATGTTCAGGCGCAGTGCAAAGCAACCGTCCAAATTTTGGAGACCACAGAAAAACCAAACATGAAGCTTGTAGCATTATAAGACAGAAAAAGGCAAGAATTGATGTGACGTGCTTGTAAGTCACAAAAACCAACTTCCATCAACCAAGAGTGCACAATCACAACTGATCATAATAGACGAAAAAAACTGCCATCTATGCCTCCAATCATCTTCAATTGCACCCGAACCCCAATCGAACAATATCTTTCTACTTTTGTTGAGTATATGATACATTGAAAGAGACCATTCAAATGCTTCAAGTTAAAAAATTATAATGGATTTTACACGAATCGAATTCATCTATTATTCAGAAGAAACAGATGAAAAATTATCAAATACATAAGCAAATCACACCATGAATGCATGAAAGCAGATATTCTCCAAAATCATTTTAATGGGCGTTTAGAAAATGAACCTTATCAATGCACGTTCAACACTATGCAGCTCACAAAAATTTCCAGTTTTGCATCCCAATTAATGATAGGTCAAACAATACGTACAGCATGAGTATAAGTATATTAACCTTTTTTAGAAGATCGAAGTCGTCTGTTCTAGTCTTCTTTTCATATCCTGGTGGTGGAAATGGAAAGCAGCGCGACATTGCACAAAATCCAGATATGCTCAGTGTATCCTCCTCGCAAAATTGAGAATGCTTCAATTACTTTCCAGTAGCACTGTTCCAGAAAGGGGACGAACCAGCAACTATGCTCCTGTCCATGCACCATGTCACCGCATTCATTTCCAGCTTTAATATTCCTCCATAAGCTTCTTACTCACTACAAACACAAATTATGGAAACCACCAAGGTTTACTTCCCTTCACCAAAAATGCAAATAGCTGAAACTAATATTACTGAAATTTGATTCAAAATCAACGTTGAGCACGGCAACCACTCAATCTAACTAAGTAAAGTCCTAACACAATGGCAAATGATTCAAAACAACCCCAATAAGTATATGCTTATGATTAGGATCTCTATGTAAGGTATTAAGCTCAGATTATGTCAATCCAAAGGGTTTCTTCAGAAACAAAAAAGGACCACTGCAATCAGATCCTCTATATTTTCTTTGGGGCCAACATAGAATCATCAGCTTTTCCTTTGTGCCAAGTCCCAAAACCAAAATCATTCCCCAATAAAGATCAAAAAGGTCAAAAAAAAAAAAAGAAGGAGACCACCCTCCCTGCCTTTGTACTGTGTCTAAAACTGGCTCTCAAAGTGTTGATCACTGTCTAAATAATTAATATAGACAATCCTCTTCCATGCTCATAGAAGCAATGTTAAAGACCATCTTAAGAATAAGCAATCTCCAAGTACAAATGCTCAAGCACCGTGTTTCCAAATCCACAATTCGAACCTCTGAAAAGATCGAAGCTCATACCCATTTCACGCAATCCCCCCACGCAGTTCGTGCTTTGATCAAACCCTAATAGGTCCGAAATCCCAAATTCAAGTACCAAGTTATGATCCAATGAAACCCTAGAAAATCCAGCAACACAAACAAGCTGAGTACATACCGGGAATCGGGAATACCCACAGAAAAAGAAAACCCTAATTCCAATCCTAAAAAAATATATTTAAAAAAAAGTACTAAAATTGATTGGAATAAAAGAATCAAACACTTTTTGGGTACCTAAGCAATAATAGGTATCGATCAAAAGGGGCGGGGAAATGAAGCTCCGATTCGAAGCGTTAACGGGAAAACCGTGAGATTGGAAGGATGGAAGAGAGTGTGAGGGGAAATTAGCGGGAAGAGGCTAGCTTGTCCACTACAAAGTGGGCATTGTAGAAGGACAAGATCTCTCTTTCACATGAATACGATTAAAAAAAGAAAAAAGAACAAAAAAAAAAGAGAGAATAAGAAGAAAAAAATCGTATTGTTTTTTGTTGCTATGATAATATGGTATGGTTGTTAGAGGCTTTAGCTGATTTTGGTGAGACTAGATTCTGGGTTTTCTTCCCTCCCCACACTGCTTCTTCTGTTGTGTTCTGCGTCTTTCGTTATGTTATGTGGGTTTGTGCTTATTTTTGTGTTTGTGTATCTAATATACATTACCAATTGCGGTGCTTATGTTATGTGTGTGTTAGTGTTTCTTCTCTCTCTCTTCCAACTTTCTTTCCTCTCTTCCTAATGGCTTTTTTATACGCAATAATGATAAATACTTCAAAACCCAAAATACCGGAAATATTTAGATAGAGATACACCAATAATATGTATATACGTATATATATAAAAAAAATAGTACTCACACTTCGTATTGACTTTTTGAATTTGAAATATACCTTTGTTGATAGACTTCTTTTGATTATATTTTAGAGCTATTGTAAGAATTTGCACAAGGGATGCTCTATCTTTGGTGACGTTGGGGAAGACTGCTCTTCAGCAATGATTTATTATATTAGCTACGGATTTGGAAATTGGAACCAATACACTCGGAGTTTGCTTATATATGAGAGATAAGGGTAATAAAGTATCCCGGACGAAATAAATTAAATTTGGACATACTTTAAAGATTGAGATTTCAAATGTGATTTGAGTTTTCTTTTTTGGTAATTTTTTAATTAATAAGTCGATTTAATTTTAATTATTTTAATAAAAAATCTTTTTTTTTATGAGTGATTGAATTATAATTGATTATCATTAAAGCTTTTATTTTCTTTTAAAGTTATTTGACACATGCTCAGTATTTATTATAATTTAATGCTGGTTGAATTGCAGTCGATTAAAAATTAATTGGCACCATATTAAATGATATTTAATGTTGTTATAGTTTTATGGGGTGATTAATATTTGATATTTTATAAACCCTGGTTGAAAGGACCATAACTCTTTCAATTCTTACCCGAATACAGGAAGTGAAGTGAGGTGTCATTTTAAAGCTCTTAATGTCTAGTTTTATTTGCTAAAATTCCAAAACTAAAAGAGCTAATACAAGTTTGTAGTTTAGATTGGAATATGGGCTGCTATAATTCTATTTACTATGTTAGTCGTCAGATATCGATAACTGTTTGGACTATTGTTTATACGATAAGTTATTATTATTATTATTTGACATGCATGTGTTACCCAAAATTAATGTTATATAGTTGTAATCTGAGACTAGAAAAAGTAAAAAATTAATTAACATTCCTACGTAAGTGTAAATGTCTTAGTTACAAGTATATATAACAAAGTAAGACGACTCTGACTACATTTCTTAATGAACTATGATGCGCTTAATATTATAAAAGAGATGATACAACGGGAGCATACGGAGTGTTACATGTTAATATAGTTTTGATGGTGCCACATTAATATAGTTTTGATTATAACAAATAAGTTTAAGGAAAATAATTCAAAAGCCATAAGAGGCAATATTCAAAAAGAGTCCAAACGTGTGTCAAAGCAATAAAAATTCAAATGCTCAAGTGTCTAAATCAAGGATCAAACCTCAAAGCATGAAACTAAGTCCAATATCACGTTAGAATATACTTTTAGGACTTAAAACATATATGTAAAGGCATATAGTATATAGCATTGCATTATAGATTGTGGAATCAAAATGATGATGTGGTGCCTATACACTCAAATTTGATATCTTTAATGAAGCCACGTCAATATAGTTTTGATGATAAACAAGCCTGAAGAAGTTGATTCAATATCCACAAGAAGCATTCAAAAAGAGTCAGAGTGTATGTCAAAGCAATGCAAATTCAATTGCTGAAGTGTCAAAATCAAGAATCAAGCCTTAAAGTATGTAACCAAGCCCAATATCACATTAGAATATATTTTTAGGACTTAGAACATGCATGCAAAGGTATATAATATATATAGCATTGCATGAGTTCAAGTTATTCCCATCACCATATCATCAAAAAATGCTTAAAAACCTTGATTTAATAGGTCAAAATTGCATCAAGTTTTTTTTAACATAATTTGAGCATACGAGTAGTCTTACATAGCCTAAATACTCATGCATGCTCACATTCTTGACGCTCTATTTGAACTTAAAGAATACATTTTGGACACTAAATATTGAAATATGACTCAATTGATTGGTTGTAATTTGTCAAAATTGGATTGGAATGGTTTTCACATGATTTTAATACTTTGAAATATTTTCTAGGTCCAATTACATGCATAGAAATCATTTATAGAGAAAAAAAATTAAATTTTTGTGAAAGATGTACTGTTGTTGTCAAATATCCGAATATGAATATTTTCATATCAGGATATGCATATCCAAATACGAGTTTTCAGATATTCGGATATGCCCTTGACATATATTAGGATATAACTTGTCCAAAATGCTTTCCAACGGCTATATTTTGTTTAAAAAGTATATAAACTCATTGATAACAACTATGTCTACTAAGAAACAAAATTATATCATTTATTGAGTCATTATTACTCCTCCTAACACATTCTTGCTCATTGATTTCATACTTACTTGATCATCCTATACTTGAGATCATTTATATTCTTTAAACTATACACCTACTAGACTTCAAGTTGTATTATATGCACTTTGAGAATGCTTATCTTGTATAAAAACACATATCGAGATTAGTGATTGAGGGTAGTGATACCCTTGTTGGAAAAGTTTCTCATAGCCTAAGAAATTGGATGGAATTGTAAGGTAGATAATAACCAAGATCTTAGAGCGATTATAGTGGTTTATTCAAACACTCTTGAAGTTTGACCAATAGTGGACCAATCATTTCGGTGATTGAAGGTTGGACATAGGTCACAGTGGTTGTCACTGAACCAAGATAAACATAGTTTGCACTTTCTCTAACATTTATCTCTTTACATAAGCATTGTTTGCATAGTTGAACATTCTTTATTCATATTTATTAATCTATACTTGCTTGTTTAAGTTTCTATCTATTATATCTTTGATTATCCTAAATTATAGTAGATCAATAAATTGTTCTTACAAAAAAAGTGAGTCATTTGGGAAAAGTTTTTAAAACCTCAATTCACTTCCCATATTGAATTTTGAGGCCATTTGTCCAACACAATATGTGGTAGCTCTATCTACTGTAGAAGGTGAGTATATGGCAATTACTCAATCATACAAGGAAGCAGTTTAAATTCAAAGGCTAATGGAAGAACTCGAGCACAAACAACTATCAGTTATTGTGTATTATGATAGTCAGAGTGCCTTGCACATTGCAAAGAATCCAGCTTTTATTTCAAGAACGAAGCTCATAGGAGTTTAGTATTATTTTGTTAGAGAAGTAGTGTAAGAAGGGAACATGGATATCCAAAAAATTGACATCAAATAAAACCTAACATATGTCATCACAAAACCAATAAAAGTTGACAAGTTTATCTGGTGTTCATCGTCCTATAGTCTATTTGAAGTGTAAGCAACATGGAACTGACAAGAAAAAAGTTTCAAGAGCTCACCAAAAATGACTTTAAGTGGGAAATTGACGTAAAACAGTAAACTCACATGTTTTATAGGAGGCTACACTATTCCTTTAGTGGCTGCTCAATTTAAATGATGACTACGCTATTCATTTGGTAGGTACACATTTTAAATGAAGAATGCACTATTCCTTTAGAGACTACACATTTTAAATGATGGCCATGTTTACCTATAAATATATGTCTTGCTCTTCCTTTGAAATCATCCCAGATCCCACAAAGTTTAGAGAGAAACTAGTATCTTGTGCATCCACCAAAGGAATGATGTAGTCATCATTTAAATTCTGGAGCCATCAAATGAATAGTGTAGCCTAAAAAAAATTGTGACCTTACCATTACATGAAATACATAAGAAGATAAATCCTTACTGTCACTAACTAAAATTAATATACTATTAACATTATAAATGGTAAAGATCTAACCAAGTATGAATCATTAAAAAATATCTAAATAAAAATCAAGAGCCTTCCAATTATAACTTTTTAAAATATATAAAAGATGAGAAAATGTTTGCCATCTTTAAGGACACGAGTTTGTGTCATTTTAAATGAAATTATTGTTTTTGGTTTTTACCTTGTTTTTCATTCACAATACTCTCACTTTCTCACACTCCCTAATTTTGAGGATGAGATAAAATATAAAAAATACTAAATATGCACCAAAACACAGTAGTTTCACTTGAAATGATATAATCTTATATCTTTTAAAATGTCAAATATTTGTTTACCAAAAAATAATGCAAATATGTTTACCATAAAATATATATTTAATTTTTTGTATGAAATTTATAAATTGTATTATGTAATTATTTCAAAACTCAATTAGTTTGTTTAAGGATCTATTCCATTCTAGAAATACAGAGTCTTAAAATATTGTAATAATATTCTTTAAATCTCTTTGATTTTATTAGTATATAATTTAAATAATATTTGTATATACTAATACAATATTCTTCAAAACTCTGTTACTTTAAAACACTATAATTCTGTAAACTCTTTAATTTCAAAGCTTAATTATTTCCTTTTTTAATTAATTAGTATTCTTCATAATTTTATTTTATTTTGTGAAATTCAATTACTCCAAAATACTTCTAATATTGTAAAGTGTAATATAAAAATTCTTATTCATATTTCAAAAATATACCGAGATTATATTTTTCTCATATATTACAGCATTATTGTGAAACCCGACTCGGCCGGGTCGACTCGAAATCTGGTGAACCGGTCATCAGAACGGTTCGGGTCAAGTATTAGACCGGTCATGTATCGAACTAGGTCAAAACCCGGCAAAGCCCATACAAAATCGGTCAAATCCGATTAAAATTGGTAACCCGGTCAGGTCATGCATTTTTATATATTAAAAAAACCAAAAAACCAAAATTGTTTAATCTTGTCAAAAAAATGTAGAACTCATTTTAAAAACTTTTTATAATTTTTTTTGCTAATATACTCTTCTACAATGACCTCAAATTTCAGCTTTCAACACTGAATCAATTTGCGGAACAATAAATTAAGAGAAGGTAACATATATCATTTCAATGTAGATGAATTTGAAAAATATGAGTTCAATTTCATTAGAGATAT